GACTTAGGCTCTTCATCCAGATTTCCACGGCTTATGTGAACAGTTTTCTGCCGGACGGTTACGTGGGTGAGCGACTGTACCCTGTTTCAGACGACGACCCAGAGGATGAATTGGCAAGAATACAAGAAACTGGACAATCGCCTTATACGGATCGATTTTCTTCATCTTATACCCATGCGAAGCATCTTATGGAGCGCTTGACGTTCAAGCGGTATCCCACGCTCCCGGTATTGTTTGTCCGTCCGACAATCTTTGGACCGGCTGTCAGAGACCCATACCCATTGTACGGGCCCGAGGATTCGACGCCTCTGACGAAGTTCTCTACGTTGTACTTTTCAGACCAGGGAGGTACCCAGATATGGCACGCCGCAGAGGGCTATAAGAGTGGTCAGAATATCTTGGATGAAATACCAGTTGACTTTGTCGCAAATGCGTGCCTTTTGCATGCAGCTGCTGGAACGCGAGGGATCGTTCATATCGGATCGCAATTATATGTGAGCCATACGTTCGACGAGATTTTAGCCATATGCAGGGAGAATGCCCCGGAAGAGATTCGACATGAGCTACCGAAAATTATATTCGTGCAAGATCGAAGTATCCCACAACATATCCTGGCAGAGCTTGTCAAGGTGGGCACCCGCAACTGGATTTTCGATTGTGGGCGATCATACTGGCTGAAACAGCTCGGGGGTCCTTTGAGCTTAGCGTTCTGTCAGCATCATCTTGACAAGCTCTCTTCAGCACGGACAAAAGAAGCTTATGAAAAGGTGCTGAAAAGAATGGGGAAGCTTTGAAGAGGCGTCTGTGCCTTGTTTGAGATAGTCGTTTGCAAGACCTGTTATTTATATGCGACGGCCTTATTTGTGTTTAGTCTGTGCTGATAGATCCGTGTCAATCTGTACGCTGACCAGCGCCCAATATTATGAGAAGCTCTTGTAAGCATTGCCGGTGCGCAGCTCATGCAGTAGCTGTGAACCCGGTGACCATGGGTGAGAACGCAGAAATTGATCCTTTGTGTGTTCCTCAAAGTCCTATCTTACGTTTCGGCCACTGTAATGCACCTTCCCAACGTACGTCGCAGGGACGGAGGGCATTCAGCAACTCGGAAACCAGAGCTGTTCCGGAATTCTTTGCCCACCACACTTTTTCATCAAGCTCCTGGAGCAGAACACCCCAGTGTATGAGAACTAGCAGCGCGAGAGGTTGACGGCATCTCAGAGCATGAACGAATTCCTTATCAACGGTTGCAACCCATGCGAGTATGGAAGCCACGTCCCGGGCATGGTTGTACCTGCAGAAACAACGGCGTAGAAGAGCTATTGCATTCTTGACGATGTGGTGTTGATCCGCTTTGTCAGGAGCAAGCATATCATTGTTCAATGCCGTTAATCGATCCAGCGCAGCCTCAATTTCACTGTCTAGTATGGAAAGCTGATTTTCCCAGAAGCCTCTTCGGGAAGTAAACAACTTCCCTTGAAGCCAGGGACGGCTGATGGTGAAGATTTTACTGACTCCGTGAAGCAACTCGAAAACAACAATGATGTTTTCGGTCATGCTTTGATTCTCTTCTCGTGCCAATTGTGGTAACTTTATACCAATAACAGTTGTGATTACTGAGTGAGCTAAGACTGCGTCACAGTTGGCTGGAGTGAGGTTATCAATCGCATGACGAAAAGGCGCAAATGCATGATTATGATACTCCAGAGCTGTGTCAATATAGGAAAGCGCTTCTGGTGGATCGAGTGTGGACGCGATATGGAGAGATGCCACCGCTAGTATCCCGCTCATGAGGAAGTCATGCTGCAAAGCTTTGCGAGGGATGACATACTGCCATTCATGGTGATCTGTTGGTTCATTGCATAAACTCAGATACGTCTCCGTGGAAAACTTGTGCATTAGCTCAAGCTCCCGCAGGCAAGCAAAGTTTGGCGGTGAAGATCCATGGCGGGAGACGGGCTGGTTGGCATGGAATGTTGCCTCAGAGGGTGCTACTATTGACTGCAAAGGAGCAGGACTTGTCGATAGTGTAGTCTCCTTGCGTGCCGCCGGGGTCCTAAAGTAAGTACATGCCAGCTCCCGGCTAATGCAATTGGAGCATGGTGGGCCTCGTTCGTCGCACTACAGCCGTTAGAACTTAGAAGACTGCTGCGGGGATGATAGTGAATTAGACGGGTATCGGATAGTTCCAGAAATGAACACTTTCGGCTGTTCAATTCAGGCGTAGCCCAGGAATGCGGGATATGAGAAGTATGAAAGTGAATGATGCTTACCTTGACGCGTCTCTTCTTACACTGGTCACAGCCATTGCGTGACTTGGTATGGGTCCTTCTAGGTGGCATTTCCCCTCAATTTATACCCACCGGTCTCATATCTTGCGAATTTAGCCCTGTTTTCGATGAAGGAGCATATCGGACGCTTATTTGCCGGCGGATATCATCGTCCGCTCAACGATAAAATAATTGGAGTGGATGGATGAGAACTACTTTGTACTAAGCGGCTCCACGTGCCGACGCGGGGTGACTAATTCTCCGTGTCACGTGATAACAACCCATCAAAACTGTCCACCAGCGCAGATGTTCCATTAGGCTATAAGATTTCCTGGGGTCAATGCAAGCTGGGCACCGGCATGCCGAGAGCTGCTGCAACTATCTACAGAAAGACTTGTTTCACCTCTGGCTGTTTTGTTTCTCCAACCCAGCAGCAAAAGGGGCGCAATGACACAGGTGGAGCCGTGAGTCCCCACAACGGCCGCTATCAAGTCGGTTAAATGAATGCTTACTGAACCTTCTCCAGGCACGCTTTATCTCCATCGATGAGATCAATTCTGGGAAGAATGAGTGGGAGTTATTCAAACAGCTCGTTGATGACTAGGAATAAATGAGCCCTACGAACAAATTAAGAGGATACGAGCTCAAAATGTTTCCTTGCAAGGAACAAAGTGCATGGCCGGAGGAATTCCCCCATCGGCGATAACGGTCGAACCAACAGATACAGCCGGTGGAGTAGTGCGAGAACGAAAACGAAAGCGAGAACGAAAGCGAGCCAATCGGCGTTGTCATGCCATGAAATTTATACACGACCGATCCACCAGGCAGAGGACCGTCTCCAGAACCCGGCAAATCGGGATAAAGAACGGGTCGACTATAAATTTTATTCGACTGTCTTATATTAATAGGTCTGATCCCCGTCAGGCTGACATACTCCGTACAATATGTGCGCGCATCTATCAGGGTCGGAGCCGGCGTCATCTTACATATCTGTTTCTTTCTTTCCCTCGTTTTCCTACTTTGCTTGCATATAGTGCATGGTATATTGCATATAGACCTATACATAGCGGCTTGTTACTTTCTTTCATTTCTTCCACCTATATCAACTGTCTTTTCCCTCCTCCACACCGATACACGACTACTCTTACGACCACCAGAACCAGAGGACGACAACCTATCACCATGAGCATCACTTGCACGCACGTCACGCCAGAATGTCCCGTCACAGCGACAACATACGGCTACTACCCCAACCTCGGCGGTAACATCTTCTTCGCCGTCTACTTCGGCCTACTTGGCACCCTCCAACTCGGTCTCGGCGTCTACTACCGCTCCTGGACAATGATGATCGCAATGGTAATCGGCGGATACATGGAACTAGCAGGATACATCGGTCGAATCCTGATGAACCACAACCCCTGGGACCAAGGCGCCTTCAAACTACAAATCGTCTGCCTCGTGCTCGCCCCGACCTTCATCGCCGCCGGTATCTATCTCACCCTGAAACACGTCATTCTCTCCCTGGGCCCGGAATACTCGCGTCTGAAGCCCCAGCTCTTCACCTGGATCTTCATCAGCTGTGATGTCGGATCACTCATTCTCCAAGCCGCCGGTGGCGGCGTTGCCGCAGCAGCAGGCAGCGAGAACCAGAGTCTGCTGAAGGTGGGCGATGATATCATGGTAGCGGGTATCGCCTTCCAGGTGGGCACGATGTCAGTTTGTGGTCTGTTGGCGTTGGATTTCTTCATCCGTGTCGTGAGAAAGGGACCGGGTTTGGGCGGCGAGAAGTTCATTGATGAGAATGGAAACCTTACTGGGCCGAAGAACCTCAGACTCGTTATTTGGGCCGGCATTGTGGCTTACTTTGCTACTTTGATTCGGTGTATTTATCGGTAAGCCTGCCCACTATGTCCTTTATCCCCACGCGATCAAGCTGCATACGGCATGAGATACTAACAAGTTACGTAGTATCCCTGAAATGGCCGGTGGATGGGGTAACCCGCTCATGCAGAAGGAGAATGAATTCTTGGTTCTTGATGGAATGTGAGTGTGTCCCTTTCGATTATGGCTCCCGTCCTGTTCTATATCACGAGTACGGACGATACTGACTGGATATATAGGATGATGGCCATCGCCGTGAGCTGCCTTACCTACTTCTACCCTGGATTCTTCCTGGAATCTATTCGGAAGGGAATGAAGAAGACGCCTAAAGCCTAATTATATATACAAGAGTCTATATTTTAGTGTACATCCTCCAAGTATAGTACATACAATAGATACCCGTTTACTATCGTTGCAGTTATGAAAGTTACAACGGTATGGTTTCGGCACTATACATACTCATTCTAGTACTACGGTGGGATACTTCAGCGGCCAAAAGTTAGCGGGTCCGTGTATTTAGCCCCTATACCACAAGTATATTCACTGGGAAAGGAAACCCGCCTACACCCAAAAAGGATATACAACCAGGATCGAACAGCGCACGAGAAGAAGCATGCAAGGGCAACGAGTGCAATGGTAGGTTGAGTGAAAAGAACGGAAGGAAGAAAGGCAATACAAGTAAAGTAAGAAATGAAATTAAACTCCATCTTAGACCAATCAACAACGAAAAAAAGAAGAAAACTCCCCGCACCAGTAACAATAATTGTCAGGCGAAAGGGAAGAAAAAATGCATATATCCCGTACGTAAGTAAATAGGTAGACCGTCAGCCGAATCAACCGCACCAAGCGTCCTTCTATCATGCAACGAACAACACATAAAGAAAAGAAAACCCATATTGACCCATTCCCGTCTCTGTTCCATGTAATTCACATCAAACCATGACTGGATGGTTTGACTCAAGGTATGATAAAGGTAAATAAGGGAAGGAGGAACTCATTTACTCCTCTCCCAGACTATCCCGTACGCACTTGCGCACCTTCTTCTTGAACTCTTTCGGGTCTTCCCGCCATAACCGTGCGGCCTCGACATTGGCGGGGCTTTCATCGTTGGGGCTGGAGAGCATGGAGATAACGGAGAGGAGGATCGTCTCGGGCGTTTGCACGGGGGACCAGCGCTCCGCGGCGGACTCGTAGCCGTACTTGTCTTCCTCCGGGGGGTGGAGGATGGAGATGCAGACGTCACCGTTGGGGTAGACTGTATGATTGTCACAGTGGAATTAGTATTCTGTGATTGTCTTGTGCCTTGGAAGAAAATTCAAGAGAAGCTAGGAAGGTGCAGGGTGAGGCGTACTGTTAGGATGGTACAGAGGCGTCTCGAACTTCATTTTCGGCGGCATGTGAGGGTAGTCAGGAGGAAACGAGAGACGAGCACGGAAGAAACCACCTATCATTCATTTGAATTAGTATGAGAGGCTCCTGAAGAAGATTTGGAGATGCTCATTCAAGCTTTCTCCCACCCAAACTCTACTCACCGCCATACAACTTGACATCATCGGAGATCATAAGCATGACCTCCCATTCAAAGACATTGTTATCGACCAATCCGCAGCTGATCCCGGGGATGTCCTTGTCCGACTGCATTTGCTGCAGTTGGCGGGAGAGCATGCGACCTGCTGCTGTTGTGGCCATGGCGGAGAGAGTGTACCGGGGAGGGGTAAGGAGGGGGAGAGGAGGGGCGTTGAGCCGAATAATACGATGAGGGGATGCAAGAGGGGTTGGTTGGTGAGAAGAGAGGGGACCCTTGATAGAGCAGAGGGTGGCCAAGGGGGTAAAGAGTAGAGGTAGAGGAGGAAAAGGGAGAATAGGAGGGACTACTACCCTGAGGGTGATTTTAACACAGAGAGCAAATGAGCAGGAGGGAAGGTAAGTAGACCGAGGGTCACGAAGAGACTGGCAGTTAGTAGTCTGCCGGGCGGTGAGTGGGGGAGCGGGGTGGGCTGCGATAACAACTTAAATGGTGCGCCTCGGTGGCGTTGCTCTGTTACTACTTGTAGTAAGTAGTAGCCCGTGAGTACCTGGCGGGTATGGCCAGTCCAGTCTATGATATATGACTGGTCCAAGGCAAGTCGAGGATGGTGCAGCAGACCGGTGAAGATGGTACTGTCTACCCTCCTGGGAACTCTCACTGTATTAATTGTACGTAAACTACTATAACGCTTACTCGTCCGGACCTCCGCAGGACAATCTCGACTCTCCCAAGTCCCCTCTTGGGTCACACGCCATGCTTATCCCTGCCCGATGCGACGGGAAGGGCAAACAAAGAAATATGGGCGATAGGGGTAGCTGTAAGAATGATTGCCAACGACTCATCCGTGCACGAGATGGCTAAATTTTAATCGCATTACACAGGTTCAAACTACGTCATGGATGGAATATGGAGTATCATGTAAGCGCTATATCATCAAACACGAGGACTTATGTATAGAGTCATGCAAAAGAGCAGAGTCGTAGCTGATTGTTTTGGATCTGTACACACTTTAAGGCATTCGGCTGTAATTAAGCGTTGTTTCCAGCGAAGCCATAGGTGACCGCTCCAGCCCAAACCTGCGCAACCAGCAGAGTGGTGAAGAACGCAGCCACAGCGACCTCAATAGCGAACCCTTTGCCGATGGCCTTGACGAAGCGGACCAGAGCAGGCCGGTCGAAGGTCTTCCAAGCATCCATGATGCTCAGCTTGCCGCTGCCGCCGACAATGGCGGGAGAGACCTTGCCGCCGAAGGAACGGTCGAAAGGCACAATCGACTCATCCTCCTCAGGGAGCATAGACGCAGCCACGCGGATGAAGATGGCCCGGGCGGGGATAGACACCACGAAAGAGAGAAGGGCTGGCAGGGAGACGAGCGTAGCAGCGCCGGCGAGAGTTTTGGCTGGGGAGTCACCGCCGGAGGGGTTCTCAATGTTCTTGAAGCCGTTGCAAGCGCTGATCAGGATCAGGGGAATGTAGTATGCAGCATTGGTGACGGCATGTTCGAAAGCAACAACCGGAGCGATCTTCTTCCAGGCAGCAAAACCGGGGATCCGCTGGTAGAAACGTTTGGGAGAAGGCTCGGAGATAACAATGTGAACCCACGCCAACTGCAGGTTGGCCAATGCGACGCTGCAGATCATGCCGACAACAAACTGAGAGAAGAATGCGTTGATGGAGAACGGCATCATGGAGAAGACCAGCCCTTGCGCAAGACCATAAGTGAGGAGCATGCTCAAGCCACGGAAGCGGGAGAGGAAACCGGCACGGGCACGGAGGTGCTGAATCGTGGTGCGTAGTTTGCTGGTGATGGGCATCGGAGGGGGAGCTTCGATCACAGGCTCGGTATCAGGCTCGTTTGCATCGACAGGCTTGTTGGCGTCAAGGTTACCATCGATTCGGACGTAGACATCGGGGTTGGAATCCTCGACAGCGGCGAGGGTCGGGATCAGCATTCCATAAGTGTACTCCACCTGAGAGTACGTGTCAGTGCCCGTCAAGAATCAGCTCAGAGGCAGTATGCAGCTTACCGAAAACCCGATAGCGATAAAGGCGAGGACGGTGAAGACAAACAGCGCTGACAGCCATCCTGCGAAATGGATGGTGGGTTGGTTCGGGGTAGGCTGCTCCAAGGCGGCCTCCACACCTCGACGGACGAGGGAAGAGATGGTCATGATTGTGTAAGAGTCAAGCGAGGGATACGACGGTCGGATAGAACTGATGATTTTGATGGATGCGATAGAATAAAAAAAGCGAGTCGGATGGGAATGAAGCAGCGAGGATGAAGAGGAAGCAGAGGAATAAATGGGAGAAGGCTCGCCCTCCAGGATCAGGCGGCAACGAGCAATTGCAGGCAGTAACAAGGCTATTTTGGGACTAGCTACAAAGTAAATGGGCGGCGGCTCGTAATCACGCCTGCTGTAGTGGGGCTCAGCGTCACCACCCGCCAATAAGAAGGCTGCCGATTGTTGGCGCTACTCCAAGTCGGGGCTTTCTTTGCCCGGACGCTATCAACCCCCGATCCGAATGCAGTTCTTTTTACTACAAAGCACGCTACAATGGACCCTGGCATCGCCGTTATCACGAACTGGTGTTAGTGTGGATTGCCTGGACCAGTAACGAAGGACCCCCCGTGCAAAACCTGGCAGAAAAGGGGCACCTCAGCTTATTGTGTCTAGGATAGGGTGCACAAGTTCGCATATCCTTCTTCAAGCCTACCAAAACACAATGAGTTTCAGCCACAGCGTTTCAATCACCAATTATATAGGCTTGGCTTACACCAATCAACTTAGATTGTTATATCGCTCGTATAATATCAAGGTCCGGATTCACAGTTATTGACATGTTCTGACCAAAGAAGGGCGTCGCCACTACCCCAGAGGTGATCAATATTCTTGGGGAGTCCGGATACCAATTGGCGAAGCGATGGCACCGATTATGACGCTGGGCAGGCACTACCCGATTATTCTATCGATTGAGAAAAGTCTCGTTGAATCAGCAACATGTTCCCTTCCTAAAGCATATCCCCAACACTACTACAAACATTTAATTCTGCTTTGGTTCCCTCAATCAGCGTTGACGACCTCAGCAACGGATGGCAGGAACTTGATGTCCATGCCCCACGGCGCGTGAGATTATCACACTTGCACTTTCAACTTACGTGTCTCCTTGTCATTCCGCTGCCGGGATATTAGCCAACTGGTAGCTACTGACCAACTGCCAAGCTTCACATACGATTTATTTTTCCCGAAGATTGAGCTGATAAGGATAAGCATATGTGCGGAGGCCGGGCCGATTTCTCCACTCTAGTAGTTGGAGTGTAGCTATAAAGCCTGTCTGGGGTTATCGGAGTATATGCCGGTCCTTATGCGTACTATATAGCAGCAAAGCTGGCGTAAAAGAAGCATGATCAGGTTCTCCGTTTTGAATGTAAGCACGATACTCAGCGTTATCTCCGTCCGTCCCTGTTTTGGCGGTGGACAGATGGGCAATTGACAGATGCTTCTCATGGAAAGGGTGTATGGAGTCTGGGCAATTTCTACCCTGGGTGTCATTGATCAGTATCTGATCTACTTCATCTGAATATTCCAGGCCTGATCATATCACTCGAAATACTGGAAACCAAAGAAAAAAGTGTGTGCTTTTGACGGTTAGAAGGCAGTCCTGGACTCTATGCTCAACATTTGAGAAGTTGACCGCCAAAGCACGTGGCCTTTGGTACTTTCCCCGAATGTTTTGGGAGCACATCGGAGTTGATGGATAGCAGAGACTGAACGTATGTCGATCACCGTGCTGGCCGTTTTGATGACCAGCTTTATCCATAGAAGCTGTTTCAGGCACAGACACATATGCACCACACAGAATATAAATAGGGCCAGTCCCCACATATCTCCCGTCAATGTCTCACCTCACTTGTCTCTAGAAAGACGCCAATTGGCCTATCTTTTTTAAGATGTTGTTCGAAAAGTCCCGTGCTCGACTGATCGGGTATAGAATACGAAAAACGAAGGACGGGGAAAGACGATCATCCCAGAAGTTAGATGTTGATTATTTTTATCAATTGCTCTACGGCTGGTGTCAAATTTCCCTCTCTGTTGATCCTACTAATGGGCGAAGATTCTGAGAATATATGAGTCCATTAAACTACAATCTCCATAGCTGGTGGATGGATCACCATTAACTTACGTTTTTTAGCAAATGATATCGCCGCCCCGACTGGCTTCAGGGCCATGTTATTTTCGCCGAAATATCGCCGCTGGATGATAATTTTACCAATGTGATATACCATCAGTGGGGGATTTCCTACTGTGCCGGCTTTACTAGTGGCTGGGCAGTCTTGGTAAACACAGTAGCCTGCCCTGTTGGTAGCCCTGAGACGGCCGGAAGACCCTTAGACTTGCGAACCTGCAGCAATGAAACTTTTTCTTGTAGCACCGCATATGTGAAGTTATCATGGGACATCAGTGTAATACTGTCAAGATTGTTTGCGATCTTACTGTACCAAATAAGCTGCAATATGAACTGTATGAAATTTTGATAATATGGGAACAGGGGATCACCGTAAATATATGGATTTTTATTGCTTTTGTGATGAATGAGGTTGATATCCACATTGAAGCTTTGACTACTTTACAACGGACCAGTCACCTAGTACTACCGGTTACCCACCAGAATCACTCTCGGGCTTTCCCAAAATGGTCATTGAGCTTACAATGGTAATTATAAGAACCCAAGCCCTGTGGATATCTACAGCGCCCCTGAGCGGAGAACGTTTAGCTCCATGGCATAAACGTGCAAGCTACGCAGTGGAGATCCACCTGTCCAGTGCGTAGTGTTTCTTAATCACTTATTAAATCCTCTTTGTCCTTCAAGTTCCCTCTTCCTGGGGTTCAACTTCTGCTTTTCCAAACGTCTCACAACCCAAAGCTTCAATCATGTCGAGTGACTACAAGCTCTATGACTATGAGCCCTCTGTCGGCGCTGCTATTATCGCTGCCGGGCTATTTGCTGCAACATCCCTAGTGCATCTTTTCCAATTGATCCGTAGGCGAACATGGTGTTTTGTACCATTCGTTATTGGTGGCTTCTGTGTGTTCCCTCATCCCTCTATTCCTTCACTCTTCTAACAAATCGGGCCCTTTTAGTCGAAACATTCGGATACATCGCACGATACTTCAGCGCCAGAGAGACCCCCGATTGGACCGTGAAACCCTACGTCGGACAAGAACTGCTTCTCCTTCTAGCCCCGGCCCTATTCTCCGCCTCCATCTACATGATCCTGGGCCGAATCATCCGCCTCCTCGACGGCGGCTCACACTCTTTGATCCGACCATCATGGCTGACCAAGATATTCGTGACCGGCGACGTGCTCTCATTCTTCATCCAAAGTGGCGGCGGCGGAATGATGGCCTCTGCCAAAACCCCCAGCAAGATCTCTTTGGGTAATAACATCATTGTGGTCGGTCTTATCATTCAATTGGTCTTTTTCGGCTTCTTCATCATCGTCACCGTGGTATTCCATCGCCGTATGGCTGCTTCGCCCACTGAAGTATCTCTGACTTTCACACCGCCGTGGCACACCTATATGCGCATTTTGTACACGGCTAGTGTTCTGATCATGGTGCGATCCATCTATCGTGTGGTGGAATATGTGCAGGGCTCGGAGGGCTTTTTGAAACAGAGTGAGATGTTTCTGTATATTTTCGATGCCCTGTTGATGTTCTTGTGTTGTGTTCTGTTCAACGTCATGCATCCGAGTCGCATTCTCTCGGCTCGTCCAAAGTCTTATGGCAAGATGATGGACATGGAGGAGGATCAGGTGGAGATGCTGCGTCCGGGGCGATGAGATCTTGATGACTTTGTTTCTGCTTTATCGATTTACGAGTGTCTTCTTGTTTCTCTCTCCTGTGTTTCCATATGATCATTAGATATCATGCATACCGTACCATATATTCTCCCCCTATACGCCCTATTTTCTCCAAGTAGCACCCGGAATTCAATTCTCGTATTCCACCGCTCTGCCCCAATCCTCTCCCTAGAAGGGGGAAAGATACGAACAGACGACCACAATACCATCCAAAGCAAATATATTTTCATCTATTGCAAATGTTTGTCGTAGTCGTACCCATTACCGCTTATGGTTAGAGCGTGATTGGAAGTGGAACCAGCAAAGTGATAAGGAGTTTAAACTCAAAACCTCTAAAACAGTTACTTTGTCCTCGATCTAAACTATATGGAGATAAGAAAACGAATGGAGTATTATAAAAGTAAAGTGGCAGCCTTGTGCCTTCATTTTTAGAGGATGTGGGGTTTCAATCCGATCCAAAATGTACATTGCGCTACATTGCTACTCCTGGATAATAGTATTCTTGGTTGAGGCCTCTGTGGCCTAGGAGGGTCGTTGCTGTAGTAAACACAACGAAACGCAATAAAAGTAAATCTGTAAATTGGGGAGACCACGTAGGCGAGTGTCTTAACATAATACATTCATGAACTCTCGCTATGTCTCTTCTCTTCTCCCCTTCTATATATTTATGGTTCCATAACTACCATAAAGAACGGCAATATACCGTAGTACCCTCATCCCCTTAAACAACCTCCCCCTTCACTTCCTCACTCCCATAAGTCTCAACCCTCCCATGAGCCTTGAAATACCGATAATCCAAGACACAAAGATACGACAACAGACCTACAACACCACTATAACTAGTCAGTTTGATTCATCCACAGCATCTCCTTATCTTCTCACTCCCATGAGACACATAGATGCACAACCAGAAAAATAACAAAACTCACCACAACACCAACGCCAAAATAGCCACAAACGCACCCAACGCCTTACTAGCGACACTACGGCCGCCGCTCGCGCCCATTATACTGATAATAAACAACGCGAACCAAAACACCGTGTCGATTATATCCAGGATCATGTTGGCTTTGAGACTGGCCCATCGCTTGAAGCGGGCTTTGTAGGTTGTTAGGATTTGGTAGGTGAGGAAGAGGGCGGCTTTGAGGCACTATTCATTCAATTGTGTGGTTAGTTATAATAGTGTATTAAAATCCAGTGAATGCTGGTGATGGGGGAGGATTGTACCACTGCTATACCCCAGATATTGGTGCGAGTTGCTGGTGTGCCTGGGGTAGCTAGTCGGGCGATGATGAGGATGAAGGTCAGGGCGATGAGAGATGCGATGAGGATGTGGAGGCGACGTTTGAGGAGGGGGCGGGCAGATGGATTGATGAGGTTGGTGAGGTTCATGTCTATTGTTTAGTGCTTGTTTCTCGTGAGAAATGGGGAGTAGTGCTGGGATGTAATATGGTATGAGTAGTATATGAATTGTGTTGTAGATGGAACATCCGAACTAGGACCATTGGACTTTATAAACTATCTTCTTACATGGATGTTCCATTCGATCTAGTGTAGACTAAGGCTATGGGACAGTTTAGGCATTCAGATAAGAACAAAAATAACCCTTTACATTGAACCGTGCTTTGCATGAGGGTGGTTGGTCGGTTCTCGTATCGGTTACCTGTTGAAGATATAGATACGACTGTTGCCTTCATGCCTTAGTGCCTTGATGCCTGTGGCTGACGGCAGGAAGAATATGGTCACCTGACCGGGTCTCCCTTTCTTCGCATGCTCGGGGATATGAACCATTATTTAAAGAGGAGTTAATTAGGTATTGTTGTATGTCAGATGTTAGTTAGTAGTGATCTGGCTATGAAGCTGTAGAGTTTGTGACTGCAATCCAGGGCCATGATCCGACTCTTTACTGGTTCTTACTTGGTTTATGATTTGTGTAACTAGTTCGAGGCTATAAACCGCAGAAAACAGGGATGGCAATCTACAATCAATGTGAAGGCTAAAATTATGGAAATTAATTTGAAAAGAAATTGCTAGAGTAGCAATGTGGTGGTCACTCTTATAATCATATTAGTGTCAAGGGCGTATGATGATGCGCATATATATATCCACACTGCCAAGACCACCATTAGTACCTACTACTAGTAGTACGAAATTCTTAATTCACTACATGTCTGAACTAAATACATAACGATAACCTTGTTATAACAACCAACAAGTACTCAATATATCCCGTTCACCGTGCAGCACTGGGCATAGGTCATGCTTGAAGATAAATATAGAAAGACAAGCCCTCCACTAGAACCTTCTTTATAATCCGATCAAACAGCGACATGATGTAGTTGAAGTATATCGAGCTATAAATAAAGAGGACGCGATAAACTTTCTAAAACGAACATCTCCGCAAAGCCACAATCAGCTCAAGTCACAATGTCATCGAAATGCAGAACTCTCGAGCTTATCGCGCATCCGTTGCGTGGATGCTTACCTTCCGAGGTCCAGTGCGGCGGATTGACTGTTACACATCACATTCTGATGCCACTGTGCATAGTCTACGTCACCACATCATGAATACCCCTCCTTATTTCAGTCTATAAGCATGGTCACCATGCTGCAGCGACTCAAGATCTATTACGCGGCTTTGTTGATGATCTTAAGAGTTTATTGACTCATATTTTTTACCTAACCGACCCGAGAAAGAGTGTAAATCAACCTGGTGATCCATTAAACCATCCATAAACTATCCATGCTGCTGCATATCCATGATTATGATCATGGGCAGTCGGCACATTATCTACTAGTCATTATGCTATGACCCATCCTATTAACATATACAAGCCGCAAACAAAGCGTAGAAGTCGTAAACCATAATAGTGAAACAATCCAAGTCAGGTTCTCAGTCCTGTCTTGGCGCCTGAAGTATCCAGGCCCTCAAGTCATTTGCCCAGTCACTTAGAGAAGGAACATAGCAGCGAGACCAAGAGCACCAGCGATTCCACTGCCGGCAACGTTAAGCTTGGGAGCAGCACCAGTGGTCTCGGAGGAAGAGGGAGCAGTTCCGGTAGCAGAGGAAGAGCCGCCAGAGCCGTTGGAGCCAGATCCAGAGCCAGAGCCAGAGGTAGAGCTGCCAGAAGAGCCGGAGGTAGCACCAGAGACAGTACCAGTGCTGGTGCTGGTGCCGGTGATAGTGCTGAGAGTGGTCTGACCAGAAACAGTGCCGGTGCTAGTGCTCGTGCTGGTGATGGTGCTCAGGGTGGTCGCACCAGAGGTGGCACCAGAAGTCTGCAAGAGATTAGCTTCCCAACGTTGGTATCACGAGTATACTAAGCTTACCGCTCCACTGGTGGTAGCGCCAGTCGTGGCACCGCTGGTGTTACCACTGTTGGTTCCAGAGGCAGACGAGGCACCACTGCCGGTAGCCGAAGAGGCAGAGGTGGTAGATCCAGCACCGCCAGCGCCGGAGCCAGTGCTAGAAGCACCAGTAGCAGAAGCGGAGTCGGAGCTGCCAGAGGAAGTGGGGCAAGAAGCAAGAGCCGACGAGACAACAGCGTTGGCGTCATCATTGGGGCAAGCCTGAGCGGTGCAGTCGCGGATACCGTAGCTGTAGTCGGGCTTGCTGCACAGGCAGGACATGTCGCCGCTGGAGCAGCCAAGCTCAGAAGCCTTGTTGCTCATGTTGCTAAGGCACATTTGCTAGAGACGCGCGCTGGTCAGTAAGGTGCGCCAAGGAAGTCACATCCAGGTACACATACAGCGCAGTCGCTGACGGAGACATCAGCGCTGACCATGCTGGCAGCGGCCAGAAGAGCGAGGGAGAGCGAGAAGGTCTTCATTGTGTGTGATAAGAAGATGGAAACGTGCAAGAGCAGAAATCGAAGAGCGACGGCGCGAAGAATGGGGTATCAACCGAAGAAGATGAACGCGAAAGACAGATGATGGGACTGGATGGATTGCTTGGAAAGATAGAAAGGAAAGAAAGAGACGGAGGGAGAGGGGACAAGAGCCGATTTAATATGGAGGCAGGAAAGAGTCAACAAGTGCAAATCCAAAATCAGGGCCCGCAGCTTCCCTTGTTTGCCGCACCGACAACTCGATTCGTTCACTTCGGCGTTTGCCGTCAATCTACTAGTTTGGAGTAGTTGCGTTGCTTGTTTTTACTTTTCTGCTTTTTGCTTTTCACAATTTTCATTTCATTTTCCATGTTGAAAAATTTATTTTATTTTTTTCTGCGAGTCGCTGGTTGCTTCTGGAGTCGATCAGCAAAGGCATCAGAACCCCATCTACCAGGCTACCAGCGCACCAACGTGGCTCAGGACACCGTCACGGGCCAGTCCATGCAGTCATGGCTGCTCCACTCTGGCCTTAATCTTGGACTAAAGGGAAGGGGCATCGTCTATCATGATCGGACCCAGACACCGTGGCTCAACTCGAATCCACTGTATCCCCTGCGTGCCTCTCATAGGCTGAAGGGAAAAACCCTCGCTTGCGCCGAGTGGCTGAGGATCTAGGGATTTGGAGATATCCCCGGTTGTTGATCCCACTTTCCCTCAACAATCCCAAGCTCCAGTCGATTAAGTTTTTCTTTTGCTAACCGAACTAGGGAGAAGGGCCTTTTTCTCACTTTGTTAGTGCAGCTAGTTTACTCCTATTCCGCCAATTTACGAACCGGGCTGCCGACTGACACTAGAGAAGTCTAGATCTGACGACAGAGAGATGCTAAGGCCAAGTTTCGTCACACCACCTACGTCAGTGAGGAGGGGGATGCTGGATGCCCAAGATGTGAATGCCGGCAGGCCAAGCAAGGCCAGGAAGTGGGCAGAGACTGGCATAGGGCCCTTGACCGACAGGATGCAGGGGATCGACGCGATGGGGCCGATCTTCGCCGGCTCAGATGGTGATTTGTGCTTCGCTCTGCCACTAAAATCAGCCCACCGCCGGTGTGGCTGACCCTCGCCCTCTTGAGCCACATTTGGCTGCCTCCGCGACAGGGCTGGGCCACTCACGACTCTGGCTGTCTCTCTAGCGTTGACGCTGGAGAAGAATCCAGGATTGATTCGCCCATTGTCAATCGGACTGACCACAGAGCTCTGTGTATCACGGCAACTTGGCTCGTGGTACCACAGCAACACGGTTGTTTGGTCCGATGTGGGGAAGCTGCTGAGTTTTCCGCCACCCACTAATTTCGATCTATTGATTGAGGAAGCTACCATTTCTCTCGTAACCGTGGGCGAGAGTCAGGACGGAAAAACAGTTCCAGGGCGCGGCCGAAAGGAAGGCTGGGTTATCCAGCCATTCCATTACCCACGGGCTGCATTGTCTGTAAGGAGAAGGGGTATCTGCACCTTCCAAACAAACACTCAAAGTTCTAGAAAAGCAGAAGAGCGCGTCGAGTCGCCATGGACCGGTCGGTGCATTGGTGCATTGGTGCATTGGTGCATTTACGTGGGATGAAGTGTGCGTTGTATCATCACTTCCAAGTCCAGGCAGAAGGGAAGGGTGCCCACCAGATTGACTAACTCCGCTCCGTGGAGGCGACGACCCTAGTCGGACAGGGTAAATGTTTGAGTTGTGGCGGTGCGACAGCTCATCTTCTCTTTGTTGGTTTTAGTTTAGTTTTTTTTTTTTTTTTTCTCCGGAATTCGACCGAGAAGCCCGTCCCTTCGGCGTCCTACGTCATGGGTCCCTGTGCTCAGGGCCTGTCCCCCGTCCATCAATCAACGCATCCTCGCAAGGGCTGCGGTGGCCTGCCCCAACGTCACTTTTATTTCACCTGCTCGTGGATGTAGGGTATCTAAACTACTCCAGTTTTCATGCAACGGCCCCATGATGCAATTAAGGGCGACAATGATCATCTTGACAGGGTTCATGGAATCTTGGCGGAATTTCCTTCGAATTGGGATCACTCTGCGAAATGGCTGACTGCGAAGATATTACAGTGCGCTTGCATGCATTGTGCAGTGGTTCGACTCTTGAAACTGATCGGTTCCATTGGAATGCACTGGCCAGATGTGAGATGTAATGTCTCATGACTAGTGCCTTGATTCGTTACACTGCTTGATGATGATTATAACCATCATCAGGTAAGGCGTTGAATGCGAAACAAGGCCATCCTAAAGGGATGCAGTAGGTTGCATGAACCGCGCAGTTCCCCAGAACTTTATACACAAGATCAAACACGCAGTAAATTTCGACCAGATAACTGCAATGGTAGCTTATTCAACAAAATACACTGTAGCATGCATAATACATGATATCACAATCAACCCGTAAATTATCACAACCACCAGTCTCTCCCATCAAGCATATCCTCAGGAACATGTCTCCTTCAGTCCCTGATAATAAGCAGCCGCTTCCTCTCCGGCAATGCGACCGAAGACTGCGCACTCCAACAGCGACGATCCCCCCAACCGATTCTGGCCATGGAGACCCCCGGTAATCTCGCCGGCCGCCCAGAGTCCGGGAATCGGCTGCCCCTGACCGTCCAACACCTGGCTGCGCTCGTTGATCACCACGCCTCCCATGGTAAAGTGAACAACCGGGGTAACCTTTCCTACATACACCACCGACTCTGGCTTAACCTCCCTCAGCGTCCAGTTTCCAAACGACTGCCGCCCAAACTCATCCTGCTTCTTCCCAGCGACCACATCCGCATACTCCCTCAGCGTGCCCTCCAGCGCCGACATCTCCCCCAACTCCCCAACCGTCGTCTTCTTAACCAGTCCCTTCCACATATAAAATCCCAAATGCGACTGCAACGCCGCAGCAGCCCCCTCATCCAACACCAGCTTCACATCCCACTGCCTCGCCTTGGTCGGCAACCTCTCCGCCCTCCCCATAACCTCCCCCGTCACCTTCTCCCTCGTCTCCAACTCATTCACAAACCTCCTCCCATCCCCAAGCACAAGTATACCCCCCTCCCCCCTCAACGCCTCCGCCGCCAATATCTTCACCATCGCCTCCGCCTCATCTTCCTTCCCTCCCACAAACCCCGTCGGATGCACCTGCACCTGCTCCATATCCACCACGGCTGCCCCAATCTCCTGCAGCAAAGGCTGCGTCCCTTCACGCTGCTCATTCGTCGACGGTATCCCCTCCAAATCGGGCCGATACTGCGCTAACAGCCCTCTCGCATCGCCTGCAAACCCTCCACTCGCGACAACGACAGGTCCGTACGCTGTCTCTGTCTTTGTCTGATTTCCCCCTCCCTCATTATCCTGGACAGTATACTCCACCCCAACTACCCGTCCTCCTCCCCCCTCTTCTCGTAGAATCCGCGTAACCCGTCTCCCCACCTCCATCCGACAATTCTTATCCTCCGACACCCGTCCCAATAACCCTTTGATGATATCATACCCCGGTGTCCCCTTCCCACTTCCCCGATGCGTCCGCGATACACTATGTCCCCCGAGTCGAGTGACCCGACTCAAGTCGACCCCGATGTCATCCGTCAGCCAGTATAGCGCGTCCGCGGACTTAGAGGTGAGTGTGTCGATGAGTTTCTCGCGTCGGGTGCGCTCTACCCCTCTAGCGGAGGTATATGGCCCTCCTGCGGAGAGGAGGGTATCGTGTTGGAATGTGGTGATGGAATCTGGGTCGTGTTGGTATCGTGTCGGAGCGGCGTTGATCCCCGACGAGGCTTTGATGCTGTTGCCGCCGGGTTTGGGCGCCCGGTCGAGGAGGAGCACGGGGATGTGGTGCGTGAGGAGCGTGCTGGTGGTGGTTAGGCCTGCGAGGCCGGTGCCGATTATTATGGTTTGGGGGGTCATTTTCTTTCCTTTAGGTTGGTCTACCTTGATAATGGTAGTGGATGAGATGGGTGTAGGTTGTAGGTGTAGTTGTAGTTGTAAGCTAGTAGTGGTGATGGTTTGGTTGGGGTGGTGAGGGGTTATAGTATTAGTGACGGGATCGTATGATCTGACAAGGTGGTGATGGTGGTGGTGGTATGTTGCGATGGGTTGTACGATCGGATAGTTTGAGTCCGGATAAAGTCAGGGCTCTTGAAGGGTACTGTGAGAAATAACGTGATTGGGAATCGATGGATGCATGTAAGTGTTGTATGACTGCTCTCATGTTGGAATGTGGAAGTCTAGAACATCTCCGCACAGCAGCATTTACAGTCGCGCTTATCTGTAATCTTATTGGATGGTTTAATCAGTGTTGGAGACACATCCGGGCACCAATTAGATTTGGATTTTAGTTAGAGTATTAACAGAGTACTAGAAGCTAACATGAAATACATTGACAGTAAATAACCAGACACCGTATCTCAACAGTCTCAAGATTGCAGCATATCCCCTTCAATTGGCCACAGAGAATCCGTCCGCTTGGTAATTGGTGCCCTCATGTGTGTTGCTTACGCTCTCATGACTGCGCCGCGCCACTAGGCTACTCAATGTCTGCAAGGTAGATGCCCCTTGGGTCTCAAAAACAGCAATGTCCACGCCAAACTCCCTAGTGATCCAATTGCGCAGTTCGATTGCGAGAAGTGAGTCCACCCCCATCAAGCGCAATGGCCGATCTCTCTCGATGCATGTTTCGTCCTGCAGAGATGTCAACGACTTGGCCAACTTCTTGATGATGGCTTCGGCGACAATTTCCACGCCTTGATCTGGACATGTCGATGCTGCCAGTCGTTCCCGACTACTCGGGAGATGCTTGCTGTCCGCAAGACCAGCAGCAGCCGCAGCAGTAGCTACTTGTCGCCTATGACCAAGAAGCATCAGCGGTTGCAACATGGGCTGCTGCTGATAATTGATGCTTTCGAGTCCATCGCTGCCGCCTACTCCTAGACCGATTCCGATCTGAGCCTCGCATGGAGCCAGAACCGGCATTTCCGGGTTGCAGTAGTAGTCCAGAATGGCATAATATCGCGCCCGCGTGATTGGCTCCAAAGTACCGTATGCAAGCACTCGGCGGAGGAGTTTGGGATCTTCTGCTAGAATTCCATCGTCTACTAGCGCGCCGAGATCGAGTGCGATGGCTTTTTCTCCTTGAGATACGCGGTATCGCGCGAATGCATCTTCGTATGTGTTTCCCGCGTCGTAATTAGACTGGCCCTTGATTCCGGCAAGGCCGGACGCTGAAGATAGGAGGATAAAGAAGTCCATTCCTTTGGGGAGGATTGTATGAAGGTTCCAGGAGCCTAGAGACTTGCAGTTGACTGCGTCCTTCTAATCGTTGTATTCGAGATCTACAAAGAGACGGTCCTGTGAGAGGTTAGATATATGAAATAATCTAGGCCGACAAGAAACAAGAATATGTCACTCACTCTCGCCACAATCGACATCTGAACAACGCCTTTGATTGGTGGCATTTCCAATGTTAGATTATCAAAAGTTGCTTTCATTACGCTCAGCTTTGTCACGTCACAAGCTGGTGTTTCCACTCGAACTCCCATCTTCCTCAGGTCATTGATCATTTCTATGGCAGACTTGCTTCGAGGACCGAACCGCGAAAGCAAGATCAAGTTTCTCGCACCGCGTTCAGCCATCCAACGAGCTGTGGCACGACCAATGCCTCCAAGCCCGCCCGCCAAAACAAAGGTTGAATTAGCATCCATTTGGAAGCTCGGTCGTGTCTTGAGTGTAGCCTGCCAGGAATATGTTATCCTTAGAGTCTAATGCAAGAGCCTACCACTGGGGAAAGCATCCTCACCTGCACCTGCGAGTCGGGTGTCACTTCGAGAACAAATTTCCCCATACTCTTACCCATTTGCAGCAGCCGAAAAACATTCTCAACCTCGCTGACATCATGAATGTGCAAAGGACGAACTGATCGAAGTTCGCGCCGACAAAACATATCGATCAATTTCTGAAGATCTCTGCAGCTCCGCGATGGCTGCTGGTGTCGCATCATAGAGCCATCAAAAACAATGAAAGAAATATTCTTGCTCAACGAGAACATAGGCAAATTTGAGTTCGAGTGGATGTCTTTCCGTCCAATCTCGATGAATCGACCACTAGGTGCAAGGCAGTCCAAGGAAGCTAGCAGGCCGTCCCCTGCTAGAGAGTTCAAGACCACGTCGACGCCGCGTCCACGTGTAGCACGCTTGACCCCGTGGACGAAGGTTGTGTCTCGGCTATAGAAAATATGATCATCAGGAATACCGTAGTATTTTTTCAAATGCTCCTTCTTCTCCATTGTCCCCACGGTAGCGAATACAATGGCGCCCAGTAGTTGTGAGATTTGAATCGCCGCCTGCCCTGTGCCACCAGCAGCAGAATGGATCAAGATGGACTCTCCTCTTTCCAGGCGCCCCATATGATGGAGTGTCTCCCATGCCGTGCCAAATTGAACAGGTATGGCAGCGGCAGTGGTGAACGGCATGTCATCAGGTATTCTTGCTACCACTTTGCCCCGGGCAACAGTTTTGAACGCCGACACGGCGGCGAGAACCACCCGATCCCCTGGCTGGAGTGAAGTGTCCGCACCAGCACGGATAACTACGCCCGCACATTCCTGGCCCATTGGTGAGTCGAGGATCTGGCCCAATGCAATAAGCAGGTCTCTGAAGTTTATGCCCATTGCATGGGTGCGGATTTCCACCTCGTCTGGCGCTAACGGTCCGAGGGCATCTGTATTTTCTTCCGTATAACTGAGCGAATCTAAAATACCCACCGAACCTAATGTAAGTTCGAGTGGTGGACAGTCTTTGATCAGTCTGAGAGCGGAGTTGTGGGGGCTCGATCTGATCGAGAGGGTATGGGTGACTGTCGGACAAGGGACAACACGTGGAATTTGTAAACATCCATCCAACTCGAGGTACTCGATATCAGATATCCAAGGCTTGGGATCGATTGCTTTTACGGAGACAATTTTTGTCAGAATTCTCAAGTGCCAATCAGACAATTGACCATTTTTGGGTTCAAGTGTGAGAATGGTGGCATTTAGCGCCGAGTTCTCATGGCGAAGAGCACGAGTCAAACCATGAATTAGATGATATTCGGGCCTACCTGCCTGTGTTCCTCCAGCGAATGTGACCCACAGTATGCGGGTAGCTCCGAGGAATAGCCCTTTCAAGGAGTCATATGTCTGTGACCCCATATCATATAGTAAAGGTTGGTCCAGCTCCAAAAGGGCCACAAAAATAAATTTGCCGCCCGGTTCCATAGCAGCTGCATTTTCTAAAGAGCCAAATTGAATTTTGGTGATGCCACACTCCATCCAATAACGCTCTAGAAGGCGACAAGCATCGGCCTGTACAGTTGAAGTTGCATCCATGATCATGAAAATCGTCGTATCTGCACCTTCAATTTTTGAGCTGATCTTAGTGAATACTGAGCTCTCTTGCAGCCCTGAATCGATTGGCCCGCTGCAAAATGAGATCTGCGACGTATTGCCATTTTGACAATGCTCGGTGGGAGAGTCGTCACCAGACTCAGCGAGAAGTAGTAATCTTCCAGCGGGGGAAAGTAACTTCTTCATGTTTTGCAACGCAGTGTCGCTTTTTTGTGTAGGGTTACGTGCCAAAATGATGTCATAAGACTCTTGAAGCTGCTGATTGTTAGAAGAGGCATATACCAACATATATGAGCGGACAAATTTTACGAGCGGAAAGTTGTCAAGGTCGTCTTTCCTGTTGTTGATGATATCGTCCGAGCTTGCGCTAAATGTGAATGAACGATATCTTGGATATATAATCTCGCCATCATGATCATGCATGCACAGCATTCGAAGCAAATCTTGTGTCAAGTCTGAATCACTCATATCCAGCTCAAGGAAGCGAAGGTCGCCGTTCTTATGAGCAAGCATGTCAACATGCTTTTCCATCATTGACCTGGTTTTGCAAAGCAGAACCGAGGTTGGGTACAGACACAGAAGGTCGGGGTCGGGTTGATACGCAATCTTATAGACGAATTGATTGCCTTCCGTTGATCCTGAAAGGGGGCCCTCCTTGGCACTTGCAACAGTCGTCAATCTCAAGCCATCGAATTGTACGAAGAGCGCATCGTTAGTGGCTGGAGTAGCAAACCCGCTAAACGACGCTCCACGACGATCTTTCGATTCCGGCCAGGAATAACCACGGACCTCATCGGTGTCTGGATAATTAAAGCCAAACTTGCTGACAAAAAGTCGTCGGAGAGAAGTAGGAATCATAGTGGGAATAACCTTCTTACCACCGTTGGAAGAGCCGGCGAGGGACTGATGGAAGATACAGTCAAGGCTTATTGGGTGAATAATATGAGGCTGTGGGAACTGCTCTTGTGGCCAACGAAAAAGCCCGATCCTTGAATGCACACGGTGTTGATCATCGAAATGTCCGTCCTTGAGACATTGAAACGCAGGGCCTACAACCATCCCTATCTTTCCCAAAGATGAGTAAAACTCCCGATCACTAAAGGGTGTGTGGCACGACTGCTCGATGGATGAAGCAGCATCCCTGTATATCATCACCTCATCCTGGTTTGAAATGGCTGTGTCGAACCCTGTGTCATCATGGTCTGCCTGGTACTTGGCTCGGATAAGCCCATGACAGCACTCCTGCCATTCATTGTTGCTGTAGCAAAATATGCGAAATTCAGAGAAATTAACAAGAGGTCTCGAGGAGTCACGGGCAGGATGCATTGTAAACTGTGTCTCAACACCTCCAGTTTCTTCGGAGATTTGAAGAGGCATTTTGAAAACAACATCTGCGATTTCGAAACCAGTAACCCCACTGTCCTCCTTTGTGAGGTAATTTGCTGCCTCTATTGCCATGACAAGCATGCCTGAACCAGGATATATCGTCACTCCGTTGATGATGTGGTCGTCCAGCCACGGCATCTCGGAGGTGCGAAGATGATTCCGCCACCGAGGATCAAAAGGATTCCAGTCTGCAACTGGCTTTCCTAGCAGATCTAGCTTTGCACTCCCACCCAGGCGCGATTCTGCAGACAATCGGGACTCATCCCAGTATTTCTGGGAATGATCGAAAACGTAATTGGGTAAATCGGGCAATGCCATAAAATGTTGATTAGAAGTATTGAGACCATTTACCCTCTCAAGGCGCAGCGGATACCCAAGGCATGCAATTTCACCCAGGCAACTAAGAAGTGTTGCAGTCGTATTGTAGTCTTTTATCATGAGGGAGGTATAGTTTCTCACAGGACTATGCAATTCTCGCAGCGTGTCGATGACAGGGCGGCGTAAACTTTTATGTGGGCTGATTTCCACAAACATATCGAGCGCGATTGGATCCGGAGGCGCCAGGTCGAGGTTCTTCTGGATCTGAACGAACGATGATGCAACAAGGGCAGTCATTGCATCTTTAAAGCGAACGGGGGACACCATATTCCTTACCCAGTACTCTGGATCAAGGAGCTCGCTCGGTGCAAGTTGCCTTCCAGAGACTGACGAGAACATGGCTACCGGTTTCGTTTCGGACGCGGTTCCGGGCTCTAGTGTCTGGATTGCCTCCCGATATGTGTCCGCCACACGTAGCATATGTGCGGAATGGTACGCAACGTTGACTGCCAGCTTTTGAACAAATATTTCCTTACGGTCCAGGATAGTATTCAAAGCCTCAATATGCCTGTGATCCCCAGATACAGTGACACTGTCTGGGCTGTTAATGCAAGCGACCGTGAGGTCAAGGCCTTCGAAGTGAGCCGATAGCCCATCAAGATATGGTTTAAGGCCTTCTGGGGACAGTCCAACAGACATCATAGACCCTTGCAAGCCCAGCGAACCAGATGCCAGAGCGCCACAAACGGCTCCGCGATGGTACGCAATCTTGATTGCGGAAGCTCTCGAAACAGCGCCAATGCAATATGCTGCTGCAATTTCTCCCGAAGAGTGTCCAAGAACAGCCGAAGCACTTATGTTCAGTGCTCGGAGGAGATCGACCAGCGCAATCTGAAGAGCAGTACAGCATGGCTGAGCGAGCTCCGGAGCATCTATATTCGAGTCGCTGTTTCGTAGGACTTCCTCTCTCAAATTCCATGAACAACCGAGGCTGAGAAGGGCCTGTTCTGACATTTTCAAACTTTGACTGAATTCCGGGAATACCATCAAGTCACGCCCCATTCCGGCCCACTGCGCGCCCTGGCCAGCAAAGACGAAACCGAGCCCAGGATTGGGCTTGGCTCTTGTTGGCGTAGAAATTCTCTTGTCTATATCTTTGAGCTGATCTACAGAACTGACCAAGATAAAACTCCTCCATGGAAATGAGGTTCGTCTAGATGCCAGGGTAAACGCAAGATGATCAAGGTAATTGGTACTCGTAACATGCATGCTTGCACCTTCTTGGAAATACTTGGCGTAGACCGCTGCCTGTCTCGAAATGCCATTCTTATCATTAGCGGAGAGTAACAGAAGCTTTGACCTAATTTCCCTGGAAGTCGGATAGTGAGACGGGTGCATGGAAAGAGAGCGGGCAACATTGATTGTGATTGACTCAAGGGACGGGGTCATTGGCGGAGTTTGCACGGTCAAATGATTGGCAGACAGGTGATGCTCATCAAGAAAATGATAGACATCATCCAGAACAACATGCTGCAATCTTTGTGAGTTGTCTTTATCTATCTTCGCGGAAAGGGAAAGGGGAGGCAGCATCTTACGGCGTTGGTTCCTGAATTGCCAAAGGAGTTGACAGAAGCACGTCGGAGGCCCTCGCTTGGCCACGGCTTGACTTCGAGGGGAAACTTGTATTATTTATTAGCTTTTGTGACCTACGAAGACGCGGAGTAGAAGGGTGGTAGTACCTGAATATTCAGATACTCCGTATCTATCTCGGGATTAACGCGCTCGAAATTAGTATTCGGAGGGATAATCCCCTGCTCAAGTATTAGCATCGCCTTAATTACTCCAGCGACTCCACTGGCGCCTTCTAGATGTCCGATGTTGCTCTTGATAGACCCAACCCACAGTGGGTCGATCGCGGTTCGAGTCTGGCGGAATGCGGAGCCCAAAGCGTTAGCCTCAGTTGGGTCTCCAACAGGGGTGCCTGTTCCATGAGCTTCAAAGTATCTTGTGGGGTTCATGCTTAGTCCCGCTTTCTTATAAGTGTCTCTGATCAACTGAGTCTGCATATCGAGGTTTGGTACGGTAAGGCTGGACGTCCGTCCGTCCTGATTGCACCCTGTGCTACGAATGATACCGCGGATAGTGTCATTATCCCGAATCGCATCGGCCACACGCTTGAGAATCAGTACTCCAACGCCTTCACCTCTGCTATATCCATTAGCACGATGATCAAAGCTGTAACACTGCCCATCTGGAGAAAGCATATTCAAATTGCTTAGTGAATGCATGACATCTGGTGACAGTATGATGTTGCTTCCAGCAACAATCGTCTGCTTTCATATTAGTCGATCATATTGTATTGGGTGGTTCTTGATAGCGGCTCACCATGTCTTCGCTGCAAGATTGCAAGTCACGGCAGCCTAGGTCCAGACAGACAAGGCTACTGGAACAAGCGGTATCGATGTTGGCACTATTTCCTTTGAGATTGAAAAACCAACTGATTCTATTGGCGTTGCAGGACGCCTGAGCACCAAGCGCAGTTGTCGTTTTGCACTCCTCGGCGTCTTTGTATTGCATTTGTTGCCAGTCCGTAGAAAAGCTACCGGTATAGACTGAAGTCTTTGTTCCAGCTATTTTCTCTAGAGGCAGTCCGGCTAATGATTGTATCAGTCATGTTAAGGACAACATATATATATCTATGAGGACCTCACCGTTTTCCAATGCCATATATGTATGCTCCAGCAACAGCCGCTGCTGTGGATCCATAGCTGCTGCATCCATGGTGGAGGTAGCGAAGAAGGATGCATCGAACGCGGCGATATCGCGACGCAAAAAGTGTCCACGCCTGACGGGAATCTAGGTAGTCACACTTATCAGCATCATAAGCTTGAGGTGGCGTTATTCGGCTTGTGATCGAAATACCTGACCCCGTCGATGTTTGTCTGGATGATACATAGACCGGATATTCATTCGATTTTTAAGCACTTCCGTTGCTGTCGTCCTTTTTTCGCACATCAATCTCCACAAAGTGTCTGATGTAGTTACATCTTGCGGAAATGTCAACGAGAACCCGATAATTGCAACCGCGTGTCTGTCGTTCATAGCTGTGAAGATTTGCTAAGCACCGTACTGACAGATTCGTGAGATTGTAACTTGTTTAACGTGCAACAGGGTATAGACACCGACATCCCTTATATATGAAATTTCGGTGGGAGTTCTAGCGGTCAGTGGAGAGGACTAATGTACTACTTGAAATTATGGCTGCTCTTCAATGATCCTAACCCCCATTTTTCTGGGAAATGATTTATAGAAATCCATGGTGAGCAAGGATTCGACTTCCCAGTCCCATCTGCATCATCCCCTGTCCTTGAGAGGTTACTACTAGCAAGAAAGGCAGCCATTCACGGTGAAAGACACTAGAAGACAAATGGTAGCCCACCGGGCTAACCGAGCAATATGATTTGGATCTATTTACTTTTCTCGCAAAGCTCGTGTCAGCAGCTGAGTATTAATGGATAGCTACATGTATTGAAAATACTACATGAGGGACCAGGTTGTATTATTCACGAATGCGCTTTTTTTTGCCTTCATAAAACTGGACAAACCTAGCACTTACCTGGAAGGCCTCACTTGGACTGCAGTTGGGTCGGGATCATGCCCCCCGATTTGTAAAAGCTACTGAGACCATGTCGAATCACCCTGGTGAGGGATCCCCGTTCGCCACATTGCTCAAATGACAAGCTCATCTTATAATGATCTACAAAAGATTCAACCATCATGGTCCAGAGATGATGCGTATCCCAGCTCCGCAAATATGTAGGGGCCTATTGGCTTTTGCGAAGTCGCATCTTTTATTTCCACTTATCAGCTTCACGAGACCACATGGACCAGGGAAAACTACCTTCCTTGACTCCGCGATTTTGTTCTCGCCCAACTACTCGTTTGATCCGGCAGCGTTAACCAGGGGCGAGATGCATTTCACCGAACATAGCCGGTGTGAGCCATGTCTGAAGCTTCCTATGGCGCTGATGTGGGGTATTAACCAAAGCACCGAGTACTGCCGATGGTTACACGGGTTATTTGCTTGCGAAAGATGTAAGAATTACAATTACGGAGGGGTGCGTAACGTTCTGGGTTCCTGTGGGAAGGAGGCAGTGCAAGGTTGTATTAGGGTCATCTGATGCACCATGGACAAGGTTGCCTTCGAGATTCTAGGGAGACAAGCGCTTTCAGAGCAAGAGAATAGAAGCTAGTGTCAAACACCGAGAGAAATGTTGCCCCAGAAATAAGCTTCGCTATATCTCTCAGTTCAACGGGAACGTTAGGGCCAATTGTGAATAAGCAGAGACCACTTACTGCAGATCATCGTAAAAGGGCACCTGGTTCGCTCCCCAGAGTCTCTTCCTTTTCTTTGGATTTTACTGGCAGTCATATATTATTGCCTTTGGATTTATACTCTCCTCTACAAGTGCCGAAGTCACTCTCGTGTCTTAAAAAAATGTCAGCGCCCACTTCCCAACATGACATGCGACCTGGCATACTGGGCGCATATTACCCCTTGACAGCACTCGCATTGATGATGATTATAACACGGTCATGGATCCGAACAACAATCACAAAGTACTGGGGTTGGGACGACCATTTCATTATCATTGCCTGGGTAAGTTGTTGTTTGTCTTGTGGTGACGAGGTGCAGCGCAGTAAAAGGATCGACTGGCTGACACCAGTTCTCATGGCAGGCTTTCTCATTTGCAGGTCTGATTTTGATTCAGCTTGGAGCCAATCTTGGCTCGAGTCCGATATCTACTACCCATCCTGGAGACACGGACCTGAAGAAGTTGCGTTTCAATACGTTCTTTGAGATGTCCAATGTTTGCTGTACCCTGACCACCAAGTACTCCATCTGTTTGTACATTCTTCGCATCCGAAATAGTTCTCGTCTTCGCTGGATTCTGGGAATACTGATGACCCCCATGACTCTGATTACTGTTGCAGTGGTCATAGTCTTGTCAGCGTCCTGTACACCGCTCTGGAGCAACGAGATCCCCTCAAAATGCGTGTCAGTCAAGGGCATGTATAATGTCGCCTACGTTCAATCCTCCCTGACGATAGTCACCGACATTTGCTTGACATCAGCACCAGTGATTATCCTGAGGAATGTGCGAATCAAGCGCGGCAAAAAAGTATTTATTTGTAGCCTCATGAGCTTGGGTCTCCTCGCCACGATTTCGAACGTACTCCGCACATATTTCCAGGTCTATCAAACCTCAAGATCTATTTCATGTATGATCAAACCCCCTTGGTGTATCAGTCACAGTGCCTAACGCTATCACAGTCAACATGACGTGGCTCACAGTTGTTTGCATTATGGAGCAGTCTTCAGGCATCATCGCTGCTTGTATCCCTGCCTGTGTGCCCATTTTCAGGAAAAAGACGCATGCCAAAAAGTTGCAACCTGCCAACACACAGTACTATGAACTCTCAAATAGCTACAGTAGCGATGGCAAAAAACCAGGTGACATGCATTCTGGGGTTTCTAGCGACACGCCCGACACAACATAGGGAGTAGTGTCTCGACTCAATAAAGCCGCCAGTGAAGTGGGGGATAGCGATGCAACTTTGGTTGACGGTGGCATTCGTGAGACCGTGGGCAATTTCAATCAAGTGTTTGGCTTTACTCATTGGTACTGCATGCCCCACCCCCCCTAGTTGCTCATCGATAGACCACGTGCATGGGTGTCAAAACCTCAGGGACAATTATACGATTGGTAGACAGGACATGTAAAGAACAAACGGCGGTGTAGAAAATAACGCCCGGGGAAGTTTTCTTGTGGTTCCATTTGAAACATAACCTTGCGCTTTGTAACCGCCCAGCTTGGATTGTAACCTGCGCAAGCCCCTTGTCCCCAACGCAGGATTCGAACCCCTGCTAGTTCTAGTCAAAAGTGCAATGGGCCTCAATGTTTGAACGGCGCTGTCAATAGAACCTTATAGCAGAAAATCATAGCTGATCTTCTCAATTGGTCCAATGCTTAGCTATGCACAGCCCAATGGTCACACGCGGGGTTGAAGTAGTTCAGTATGGGTGAGAAAGGAGTAGAGAAGCTGTTCCACACGTGATTATTGGCTTTCATAAATTAAAATGTCATTTCTATTTCGTTCTTAAACCGCAATCTGTTTCAGAGGAGACAGGAGATTCCTCCGAGACCCAAAGAAGAGGCGTCCTTCATTTGCTTGCCGTTGCCGTTCTCGTTCTGTCTTGACAGCCCAGCCACTGCCCAGTAAGAGCTTCCTATTATACTCTTTTGATTCGTGTCCAGCTCAAGACGGATTTTTGAGATTGATAACTTGCCAAAAATGCCTACTCCAAGATATTTCAAACAGTGCCCTCCATTCCCTTCTGATATCCCCATCGTTCCCCTTGCGAAAGTGTCTCTGGAGGCACTGAAAAACAATGCGAAGGATGAAGTGGAGAAACTATTCGAAGCATGCCAGAAATGGGGATTCTTTCTGTTGGACTTCAATGGATCAAGCCAAGGGGAAGTTTTGCTGCAAGATGCCGAAGGAATGTTCGAGTTGACTACACAGCTCTCTGTACTCGGCCATGAGACACTGAAGAATTACACCTTAAAGCCCCCGGACTTTACGAGTTACGTCCTTTGTCGCTTCCAAAATTATGTGATTTTAACAGGGAAGTAGGTATAAAAACATAGGGACCATGAAAACAGAGGATGGCCAAGTCGATCACATATCCGTCTACTCGCTAAGCCAAGATGAAGTGCTAGGAATCACCGGTAATCCACGTGTGCACCCAGAAGTAATCAACACTAGCAACGAGCAGCTCCAGAAGTTCATCGGACACGCCCATGCTGTATTAGATGAAGTCTTGGCCAAGTTGGACATTTGCTTGGGCATCGAACCCAAGACACTCGAAGCACTGAGTCCTTTGGACAAGGAATCTGAGAGCCTTGTCCGTCTGCTCTGGAGCCCAGCCCAAGCCAATCCCGATTATGACCGCATATCCTTTGGCGGCCACACTGACATGGGAACAATGACGCTCTTATTCAATATCGCTGGCGGACTCCAAGTCCTCCCCGCGCGTTGTGAGAATGTCAAAGAAAACTGGAAATACATACAACCGGAGCCCGGGTGTGCTGTTGTGAATGTTGGCGACACATTGGTAGAGTGGACAGGAGGTCTCTTGCGCAGCTCTCTGCACCGGGTGGTGACAGCTCCAGGGGACCAAGCGATGGTGCAACGGGAAAGTGTGGCTTATCTGGTACGTCCCAAGCGATCTGCATCTCTTCAGCGCCTTAAGGGAGGGGTTATCCCGCCCTTGTTGCCGGGAGAAGAGGATGAAACGCGCTCGGTAGATGAGTGGAATGAATGGAGATCTCGGCAAATTGCATTGGGACGGTTGAAGCCCGAGACGCGAGGCGGACGCAACATGTAATGTAATGCGCTCATCAGCTTCAACTTCAAACGAGGCTTTCTAACGCTACAAACCTTTTGCGTCCTTCATAGGTGCATAGATGAACTGCTAGAGAACCTGTATCGTAGATCTTGTCCACAATCTTCCTAGAAAGCACATTATTGGTACCGTAGTATGGGGTTCTGCTTTCTCATGCCAATACTAAAGGAGTGATGTACAAGTCAACAAAGAGCCGTAGGATGTATTCACAGTTTCCCTTACTCTTAAGGTTTACAGAGAAAGACCACCTGTTAACACCACAAGATGTGCAACACCCGAGCCAGAAGAGATAACCAAAAACCTGAAAGCCAGATCTGGGTGGCAAGGGACTAATGAAGTATCTGTATACGGTTAATGTGCTCACCGACAGTAAGGTAATGCCTGTCAGCTTTATCGTCAGCTGATTCACTCTAACAGAGTGAACAGGACTGGACCTTTTTTCATAATGTGAGATATAACGCGTGCATAGACCCCACATTTGGAGTGAATGATGATAGCGTCTGGTTTTGGAGAGAAACAAGGCTACCAGATCACATCGACAGTTACCCGAGCGAAATCTTGACATATAATTTATAACCCACGTTAAACATTGCTCCAACACTAACAGAGAGGCTAGATAGCGAGATACAGAAATAGTTGACAGCAGAAAGTTATTACGGGGCAGCTACAAAGAAAGGCGAGAAAGCAGAGAGAAGAAAAGGGCATTCAGGGGTATCATAGAAGGTTTGCCTGGGATATGCGATTGCAGGATTGTTGGATCCAACAGACACAAACAAAGAGAGAAGAGACACAGCCCCTTTTTCTATCAAGGTTGGAATCCTCAAGCAAGGTTGTTGCTGGACTAGCGGCCGCGACTAGGATTGACGATGTAAGACGATGTAACAAACAAATGGACGGATGCGTGCCCAAGCTCACACCGTGACTGACACCATTCGGTGAATTGTCCACCAGCTATAAAGGGTTCCCTCAATCCATGTTAGGATGCTCACCCTAATCGATCATTTCTCGTTTACTAAGTGGAATATCCCGATAGACCCTTTTTCTATTGTGATAAATTTCATTCATTTCCCCCCTCTTCCCAGCTCTTTCTCATTTGCGGAGCTTAGAGAAAGTTAGCACCCGACACGAAGTGTTTTCCTGGAAATCTACAATAACATTCCGACCGTTGAAAGGACCAAAGCCGTTGACGGATACAATGACAACAGAACCACTCCCCACAAGCCTGTCCCAAGCGTTGGACCTTCCATTCTCCTCTGCGCGCCAATGTTCGGTGCAGCTGCCCTCAGATATAGCGGTCGGCTCTGGTATGTACTAGAATGTATGCACCTTACCTGCTAAGGGATACTCACTACGTTACAGTTAGTGTTGGTGGCTATGTAGCTTGCCTCATGACCAAATATGCTCTCTATTACGCCACACAACACCCTAAACTTCAATCTCAGATTGCCCTTCGAAGTTCTTATGTCCAATTCTACCGTCCAACTTTTGCCTCGGCACCCTTGATAATGACCTTGCGAGAAGTGAACATCGGGAAAGCACACTCTACCCTCCGAGTCGAATCATTCCAGAATGAAAAACTCGCCGTGTCTGTGGATATAGCGTATGTAGAAACAATCACGCCCGGAATAACAGATGCTTACATACATACTTGACAGCATCACCAACCTGTCCATCACAGGCATCACAATCCAAACTGACTGGCGTCTCTTCACTCCCCCTACTCCTGTGGACCTCACCAAACTTGAGAGAGACAGTGACCCGAATTGGATTTCTTACCACTGCGCCTTCTATCCCGAAGGATTTCGAAGGGGTCAGTCCTACCTCAAGAACTTCATCCCGAGAGCTCTGCCCACCGATTTTCCATTCATCGAGCAATGGGTTGAACCGGGTTGGGACTATCTCCCGCTAGGCTCGCGGCCGTCGGAAAGTGGAGGCAAGGCCCGATGGACCAATGACATGGTACAGTTTGTGGGAGACATGCCACTTCCGATTCAAGAGAACTATGTCCGGCATGAAGAGGGAAAGCCGTTTCCGATGGGGAGTATAGCGGCCATGCTCGAGTTTGCGAAGCGCCAGGAAAAGGCCCGCAATGAAGGACGGAGCGATTGGAGAGTTCTCAACGATGACGGCACCAAGAAATTTTCGGGCAAACTGCTGAACGTCTCCTTGACTCTCTCCACGGAGATCAAGCAAAGGCTTCCCGCGGAGGGCGTCCGATGGCTGTACTTGCGGACTGAGTGCAAGAGAATCTTGAACGGTCAAATGGATATGGAGGTTCTCATTTTCGATGAAAGAATGGATCTAATTGCTATCAGTCAACAGGTAGCGGCTCTTGTACCTGCTAACTCGAAGATCCAGAAATTGTGACTTCCTAGAGACAAGTGGTTTTCTATAAATTTGATAAAGCGCTTGTTTGGATGACATGTTTCTTTGTGCATGCTAATAGTCAGAGGAGAATTGGGTAGATAATAAACCTGGCTATACCAATTATGGCGACGGAAGCTTAAACTTATTTAGGAAGATAAGATTTCTGAGCGATGTCTCGGTTTAGATAGCCTTTTTCGCCGATGCTTGAAAGATGAGAAGGTAAGCATGATTCACCCAGCCATTCACCTAGATAGACCATGAATGAATCAGGGCATTGGGAGGCTTGGTGAAGTAATCTACTGCCTTGCTTGGATTCTAAGCTCCAACATCGACTATCACTGTGACTTAGGCTGTGTATTGGTCTTCAGCTATATAAGGCATGCTCTAGCATTTCACTCGGTATCTGATTGAATGTTAGAATTCAATACAGCTTTGCCTGCTCTGAAGGTTTATAAGGAGGGTTAGGACCTCTTCCAATCAATCCTCTTCTGCTTTTATTCCGTAGCTTTACTTCTTTACTACATGATATCTTCTTCCTGTATGCCCTTGACATTCTGTATGCATACAGTAGAACCTAGCCATCTATATTGGAATAAAGTATTCTATATACTTCAGTACATGGTTCCCATAGGGCGCAGAATTCGACAGTACTTGGAAATATGGCACCCATGACTGATAAGAAGAGTACATCAACTACTGGGACAGCTGACAGATCGCCACCAGCACTAAGCAAACAGAAGGAGGTATAATGCGCAGTCCAAGATATCAGAAGTGAAAAAAGGACTCTTTCGAGGGTGACCTGAGAAAAGGTCTTTCACATTGTGGACATCACGACTGTACATGAGATTTATGGGACCTGAATTAAAGGCCACTGTGCATCCGACCTGTGGCAGCTGGTTGCGATACATACATCGGGAGACCAGAATGAAAGCGACTGTGTCGCGGGTACCTGTTGGATGGCCGAGTCGGCCCTGGGAAGACATGGATATCTACAAGTTAGCTGCCCTCGGTCAATCTCTAAGTCTCCATTTGTGTCAACTTGTGACTATCCGAGAATTGAACCCAATAACTTGTATCTTTTTGCATGTTGCGCAGCATTCTGCAGAACCTTTGGATGGGTATATATGGCAGTGACAATACAAACGTCAACTCTTCAAAAGCTAGAACTAGACGACTTATATGACATACTGGATGCCTTTGAGTTTTAGTCAATGCGCCAGTGCCCTCCCTTCTGCTTTTTGAACCGTTTGATGAACCGAAAGTTCAATTATATCAAGTAACTACAATTTAAATGATCACCAATTCTCCGTCAGTGTTGCCACTATTTAGATTTCACTGCTTCTCGCATTTTCCAAGTGGAGTTCCGTCATGGCCGGATTCGTACTTATCATATTTCTATGCACTGTTCCAGTTACATCAATGTCCTGCTGATCTGGTCTCAGGGATAACCTCCGCCAGAAGCATGTACCAACTGTCATGATTGTAATAAGGGCAACTTCCTCACATGATCAAGGCATTTATAAACCAAACCAGGAAATTACTATTGCTGCATCAACCATATCGCCTATGAGTGTTGCTTAGCTCCAGCAAAGTGCGAACTGATCCACCCTAAGACCAGCGATAACAGGCAGACCTTGCTGATATTGATATCGCTAGCATAAGAGCTGGACACAGTTACCAGCATTTGGACTTTAGGCCCAATTTTCGTTGTTTGAACAGTACATAGTGACCGTCGTCTTCCATCCCCGGGTATATCGTTTCTGGTGGAAGATGTGAGTTCAATAACATCAAAGACAAGAGTCTCGAGAATATACAAGTGAAGTCCCATTAAATGTACACTTCGAACCTCTCACTGCTCGCACGAGCACAAGGCGGGGAGTCGCAATGTGCCATTCGTGCTGGGTAAACACACCGAGGAGATAGTCCGCTGGGTGGACGAGATCCTAACGGAACGCAACGAATCCGAAGGGCAAGTCTGACCTTCTCTTCTTCGGCGTCCGGTCTGACTCAATGGTTGCTCTGACATAGCCCTTACTCGATCCAGTGCAGCTGTCCCCCGTGTTGCTGCATCCGTGCCCGGTGAACTTATTTAAATTATTGAGAAGGATATATTCAAGCTGTTTCTGGCAGGTGCACTATGGTCATATTTTAGTCCTGTGTGCCATATCAATAGAATCTAGAAGTGAATCTAGAAGTCGTTAAATTGGGTTAATTGCCAACCCCCCTGAGCCAGTCCGAAGGCCTCACAAAGCCATCCAATCGGTAGATTGCACATATTTTGCATCTCACAGGGAGAGGAGAGATGGCAGATAATATCAAGCGAGAGTATGATGCGGCACCATCACTTGCTTCGAGTAAGAGAGTAACATCCAAACACTTCTTGCCAATTCAAATCTAGCGCTGAGAGAGAAGTCGGAGGATCGAAAAGAAGACGAGAGGTCTCAAGCAACCAGCGCCTTCAATAGAAACAGTACTACCGTTGGATTTGAGAGGCTAGGAGAGATTGTGCTATGGATGGAAGACTACAGTAAGCTATCCGCCCATAATTGCAAAGGATGAAAACCATAATATTGTTACATATTGAGACCTATACCTCCATCTGCTGTCCGGGGAGACGCGGTATTTTCGGTTTTGATTTACTAGTAGTCAGTATTATGTGTTGTATACTGAAAGTCATGCCAAGAACATCACTTCCATCCCGGTATAGAAACATCTCCACCAGAAGAGCCGTAGATAACTGCCACGCGCAGAACACGAAATCAAGGATCACCAGTAATCAATCTAAACCAACCCCGGCACATCTCCGGAGCCATTAACCCGATAAACACACATGAACCCACTCTCATTCGCCATATCGCTGGTTTCGCTGCAACCCGACCGTTAAAAGTGGGCCACCATAAGCGCTAAAGGCATGGCATTTCGTTAGCGAGAAACAACCGGCCTCGGCTTCCGCCGAACATGCGAATCAGAACTAATGTACTCCGTATTTACCACTTTTTAACTAGTCCAATTGTAGCTCCGTCATATCCACCATGTGAAGGATATAAAACTCCGGATTATAGTGGCGTGACCCTCGCTTTTTCTCCTTTTCTTTTTGTCTTTTTGTCTTTACTCTTCTGACGTCTGGGAACACGCACCGTATTGCTTATCCCTTGCAGCACACCACACCCCAACACATACATAATAGTAACAATGGGCTCAATCGCCCCCGACCTCCCCATTGAGGTGGACCACGACGACGACGCAAGCAGCCTAGGGACCGAATCCTCCACAACATCCCTGAGCTCCAGCGTACTCAAATACGAATACAAGCATGGCCGACGCTACCACGCACATCATCTGGGAAACTACCCGTTTCCCAACGACCAGCCCGAACAAGACCGACTAGACATGGTGCACCATATCTTCTACCGACTTATCAACAACCGGCTCTTCCTTGCGCCGATAAACCCAGACGGGAAACGCATTCTAGATATCGGCACCGGCACAGGCATCTGGGCCATCCAGATGGGCGACGAGTACCCGAATGTGGAGCAGATCGTAGGCAACGATCTCAGTCCGATCCAGCCGTCGTGGGTACCGCCGAATGTGAAGTTCATTGTGGATGACGTGGAGAAGGATTGGATGGAGAGTGCACCGTATGATTATATCCATTGTCGGTATATGGCGGGGTCGATTCGCGATTGGCCGAGGTTGATTCGGCAGTGTTATGAGAATTTGAAGCCCGGGGGTTGGTTGGAGTTGCAGGAGAGTGTGAATACGTTGTATTCGGAGGATGAGAGTCTGAAGGCAGATAGTTATATGGTGAAGATGATGGATGGGTTGAAGGAGGCGTGTTTGAGGATTGGGCAGACGATGGATCCGGCGCCGGAGTTTGAGAAGTGGGTTGGCGAGGCTGGGTTTGGGGCCGTGCATACGATGAAGTTTAAGTTGCCGATTGGGAGTTGGCCCAAGGATGCGAGGTTGAAAGAATGTGGAAGTTTTATGAGGGTGAATTTTGTGGAGGGTGTGGAAGGGTTTACTGCTGCGTTGTTTGGGGATGTGTTGGGTTGGGAGCAGAGTGAGATTGAGGATTTGAATGCCGGGGTCAAGAGGGAGTCGTTGAGGAAGGATATTCATCCGATATTCGATGTTTTGGTTGTTGCGGCGCAGAAGCCAATGTAGTTGACATGATTAGATGGATGTTTTGCTCGGTCAATTTGCTCTACCTAAAATGGGAATTGATATGTGGTTAATGTCTATGATAAGCCACAAGTTGGCGACTCTTGTGCTCCCAGATATGCAACTACGGCATCCTTCATTCTAGGGAATATGTACCCAGATCTAGACCCAGACCCAGATATCTATTAATAAAGTCGTAGTGATCTGCTAACAAGATCCAACTTTAACTCTAACCATATCTCATAATTGTCTCAAGAAATGTCGGGTCGATTACCTGTTTAGTATGCGGGACGATTACCAAATACAGTAATCATCCGCTTATCAGCGCCACGTCTCTTAATATAAAGATGTAGCTCGATAAACACAGCAGTTGAACCCCGTATCGTCACTAAATATTTGTCACAATCCAAATTGTCACCCGAAACAAAGTCGTCTGAAATGGAGGTGTCCTACACCTTCGCAGGAGTTCTACTTGACTTCGACGGCACTATCATTGACTCAACCGAGGGTAAGCCAATCATTCCCGTACAGATCTGGAGGAGAATCTCACGAATACGCAGCAATTGTCGAGAACTGGAAAAGGTATATCCTCTTTGGAACTCATCAGGGACAACCCCATACTAACAACCACAGAATCGGCAATGAATTAGGCATCGACCACGAAGAAATCCTCCGCACCTCGCACGGGCGACGAAGCATTGATGTTCTACAACAGCTAGATCCCACAAAAGCGAACTGGGAATGTACGTACACACACATTACCTCCCATATTTTATCATAGGTGACAACTGACCTGGATTCGACATTAGATGTCAGCAAAATGGAATCCCAAATCCCCACCCTCAGCAAAACCCCCGCCGTCGAAATCCCGGGTGCGCGCAACCTCCTCGAATCATTGACCAAACTCCACATTCCCCACGCTATTGTGACATCCGGAACGAAAGCATTACTGAATGGGTGGTTAAACGTTCTACAACTCCCTCACCCGCAGCATGTTACTGTTGCCGAAGATGTCACGCTGGGAAAGCCGGATCCGGAGGGCTATCGCAAGGGGAAAGAGAAGATTCTGGCTTCGAGGGAGAATGGTGATCAGGGCAAAGAGGATGTCTTGGTGGTGGAGGATGCGCCGGCTGGTATTCGGGCGGGAAAAGCGGCCGACTGTAAGGTTTTGGCGGTTGCGACGACGCATTCGGTGGAGGCGTTGAAGGAGGCGGGGGCTGATTGGGTGGTGAGGGATTTGAGATTCGTGGGGGTGGAGGGGTCGGAGGGGGATTTTAGGGTTGGGTTGTCGGGGTTGTTGTAGAGGGGGTTTGATTTCAGAAGGTTTATGGAACGTGGGAGCAACATAGAGATAGATGACCTGAGTCAGTTTTGCATTAGACCCAAAAGCGGGCTTCGGCGATTAGAAATGCATTAGTTTGTCAGTGAAAGATAGCAAGACACGAGAAACACGAGAAACTGACGATGATGGGTGATAAATAGCGAGCCAGTAAGAACCTGGGAGGCTGAACCTAAGCATCAGCACGGTTTAAACTAGTGGCAGTCCTTCCGGAACTAGTCAATCCAGCGCATTCGGCGAGCTCGGCGAGCTCTGTGTCAGACTGTCCGAATAGCCTCAAAGCCAGAACTGCTTAGCAATTCCACGACGTTCTCCGTTTTCTTGGTAATCGACCAAGGCTGCATCTCTGCGAAGGAACAATTATAAAATGGCAAGAGTTACCCATCTTCAATGTCCCATATACACTCAACAATCAAAAACCCAATACAATAACCACCACAGCAACTCCAACCACTCAAGCACAATATCCAACAATGTCTCCTAAAGTCTTTATCACTGGCGCAACTGGCTACGTCGGCGGCCAGACAGCTGTCACTCTCATCGCTGCGCACCCCGAGTACGACGTCGTGGCACTAGTCCGAGACCAAGAGCAAGCCGATATGCTCAAGAGCCGCTTTCCGAAGATCAGCACTGTCATCGGAACACTCGACGATGATGCAGTTCTGAAGGAGGAGGCTGCGAAGGCTGATGTTGTGCTGCGTAAGTCTGCCACTGCCAGTCACTGTGGTCAAGCCTCATCGAAAAGCCACCCACTAATATTGTCCTACCTGCACAGAAACCGCCAGCTCCGACCACGTTCCCGCAGTGAACTCCCTTCTCGCCGGTCTAGCATCTGGCACTGGAAGAGGCAGATACATTCACATCTCCGGAACGGGTGTTCTCAACGATATGTCTACTGGACCTGGAAACCCCACTTCAAAGATCTACGACGATGTGAAAGATATTCATGAGATCATCAACCTGCCTGCCGAGGCACTGCACCGAAATGTTGATGATGCTGTTATCACCGGTGGAATGCGACTGAATGTTCCCACGGCGATTATATGCCCGCCGACCATCTATGGTGTGGGTGAGGGACCGATCAAGAAGCGGAGTATGCAGGTTCCGTTCTTGACTGAGGCTATTTTGAATCGGGGTAAAGGGTTTACTGTTGGGAAGGGGGAGAACCTTTGGGATTGTGAGTTGTCTCCAACTTTATAAAGACAAGGGATGGATTGCTAATGGTAATGAAGATTGCCACGTCAGCGACGTAGCCAAAGCATTCGTCGTCCTAACTGAGGAGGCATTGAAGCCCAACGGAGGCACAGCGACATGGGGCCCAGAAGGATACTACTTTGCAGAGGCGGGCGAGTTCTCATGGAAGGGCGTCAGCGAGAAGGTCACACAGATTGCTCATGAAAGTGGAAAGCTTGCTGCTGCGGATATAGAGACTTTGGCCGTTGAAGACGCTATCAAGTTCCATCCATGGGCGCCGGTTCTGTGGGGTGGAAACTGTCGCAGTCGGGCTAGTCGGCTGCGCGCTTTGGGGTGGAAGCCTGAAGGTCCCTCCCTTTGGGAGGCTATTCCTAGTATTGTGGAGTTTGAGATCCGTGCCCTTGGACTGTGAGTTGTGAATAGGTTCTTGGCAGTTAATTGAGGGTTAAGGTGGGGTTTCTTAAGTGATTCGGCGGTAGTTGGCTGTGTTTAATTCATCATAGAGTTCAATGTTCATGGCGCACTTATTGCATCTTTCAAGACTTGTATGACGAGACCGTTGTCTAGAGCATGAGGCCAACAATATTGTTCCAGTAGTCCTTTTGCCTTCGCATCAATTAAATCCAAGTCGACCAAGTGTGAGTGGCGGTTCTTGATTACTTGTGGTAGCGGTTATGGACAGCAACCGGCTTGGGGGAATTCAGTTCCGCAGCTTCAACTTTGTAAATATTCTCTGTAGACACATCTAAAGCCACCGTCTTTGCAGCGCTGGCACGGCTTCCCCTTATCACATCGCACCCTCCGTCGCCGACACATGTCGCACGGCTTCTGTCGCATGGAGAACACGTGCACCCTTGCTTGGAAAGCCGCACTGGCTCCAGCTGAGCCGCAGCTCAACCCACTTTTGACGCAGTTCTGACAAGGGTCATCCTTATCACATTTAATCTTCTTTGATCGGCAGTGACCACAAGGTGCCTTCAACTTCTGGTTTGATGTGGGTGAAGGGAAAGGGACTGATTTTGTCCTCTGCGCTCGGCTCTGCAGCAGAACGTGGGCTTCACCCCAAACCTCCTTCCCAGCCATCTCACAAGCAATATCTAGCCAGAGTATCATCCGCAGCTTTTCTTTCACGCAGCTCCACTGCACGTTATCTGAAACATACATAACCTCAGCCAAGCTCTCGATGAACCAGTCTCTGCCTGGTCCATTCCTAGCTGCTATACCGCCCATCATGAGGATCCACAGAAACAGGATATCGCCATGTTCCAGAACTGGCCAGGTGTCGAGAAGCTTATTAGTATCCAACTCTGATTGTAATGCCTTTGCCAGTGTTTCAAATGGAGCTCGGACGCCAGAAAGTGGAAACGTCACCCCGATACTGTAAATACTTGTCGCCAGTCGACAGACTTCGGATATAGCTCCAAGTCCTGTGCCAGTAATCCTCCCTATGCTCATCAAATGATACTGAACTAGATTGCGCTGGTCGCAAATTGCCTGGGGCCTGTATGACGAACTACGTCCGGAAACGTAGTCGTCAATTGTTGCTGTGTAGACTTTCAGTTCCTGCATAACTTTGCGGAGTTCCGGATCAAGATCTATTGTGTCGAGGAGCGTTAAGCGATTAGCTGTGTTAGTGATGCCAAGAAGAAAGTGACTTTCTATCTCATATTCGCTTTGACCAGATAGTGCGACGAACGGAAGAGGCGGAGGAGAAAGTAGCAGCGTAGAGTTTACTAGTACCCGGCTAAGGAAAAAATGTGAGTTTCTGATCCTGGATCCGGTTTGGGGAATGTTGCTTACTAGAATGCTGCGGCTGCAAGACCAGGCGTTGTAACCTGAGAAAGGCCACCCCTTAAGGATATTATTCTGTGAAGACCCATTTGATGCAACTGATTGGGTTCTCTGGCACTGTGGACATCCAACCATTGTAATCCTTGCAGCGGGGCCTGGAATGGAGACTGCTTGGACCACTGGTTGTCATCATGAAGCAATGGCTTTTCAACCATCATCAAGACTGCCAGGATGGTCGCATCAGCAGTTGCTCGAACAGGATCGTGTAGTGCTTCATTTATCGAAGTTATCGTGTCCAAGTAGTATTGTTTCAAATACGGTACGACCTCTTTGGTCGATGTCAGGCTAGCCATGTTGGCCGAGATCAGGCCATTGATCCTCTCGTGCGATAGGGAAGACAGTACTATGGCCTTGAATGTCGCCTGATCGTTAAGTGACATAGGAAACCAGTATTGGAGATACGGATTGGACACATTGCGCGACGGAAGTACACGAGGCGTCATGATGGCGAATCCTATAGATAAATGAGCCTTGTATCGACAGATACACACGATATAGAAACTAACGATAAGAGAGAGCCCGCCTCACGAGCCGTGGTGGAAGAGATGATGGGAAGATGTTCAAGGGAATGAGGTCCGCTCCGGGGTAGATACGAGTGATCTCGCCTGCAGAACCGGGCCATGTTAGCTGTCGCGTTAGCTACACGTCTGACGAGCGCGAAGCTGTACTATGATCGGTTTCTTCCTCCGTTTCCACAACACCAGTGGATAATGGAATATCGGAGGACATATTAACGTTGAAGGGTAGAAGATCACGGTCAAGTGTGGAACGCTCCATGAGCTCGAATGGAGGTGCATCCAATAGGGACGCTAGCATTTTATTGTGAATAGTATGGATGCCACTATCAAATATCATAGTGGGCGGGAGATCATTGAAGGATTCCTAAGTTTATCTCAAAGCCAAGATTATAAATGGTTGATCACGTGTGGTCATCATGGAGTATATTCTAACCTGTTATAACCAAGCGGGTTTGAGCTGAATACGAAGTTAGGCCGGAATCGGAGAAGGGCGAACTGAGCCGGCTTCCGACTGTCAGACACTACAAAGGTACTAGACTCCGCAGGTACGGTAGGTTGAATCATTGGCCAAAAAGGGACCACTGTTCACTAGGGGCGTAACTTTTCAATGTCATTCGTCTATCTCATCAAGACATAAGCAGGGGTATGTGAAACATGTATCGAATCAGTCGTCACCGAACTCATCAACACACTCAATCGTCGAAATCCCCCATTTCATCCATTCCCTCATCTCCTTCATCATCCAGGCCTTCGAATACCATGAACTTCTCGTTCTTAGCATCCGTTTCCTCCGGAACGACATTGGCATCCTGGACTTCGCAGTCCTTGAGAACGGATTCACGACCAATCCTAGCTCGTCGGCCAATGAGACAGCCGGTCAATTGAGCCCGAGACTCAACTACTGCTCCGTCCATCACCACGCAGCGAGTGAGTCGTGCACCACTGGAAATATGGCAGTTGGGCCCGATAACACTCTCCTTGATGACACATGTCGGCTCCACGGTTACATTCTCAGCAAGCAAACAGTCACTCTTCGTAACCGTGCACCGTTGGGCTACGCCCTCCGGATGGGCAACCTTCTGGTTATGCGCAAAAGGCGATGCTGCCTGACGACCAACTTCCTCAATCGATTCCAATTTGGCCAGCCGAAGTGATGTTGACAGAAGGATAGCGGAACTGTCAACTCGTCGGACAAATGGTGTCGATCCTTGTTGGACATAAGCAAGGATTTGAGGATGCTCCACAGAGTGTGAAGCCGCACTGCCGACCTTTGTAGAACTTATGTTGTTGAGGTCAATCTCATCCTCCACTAAATCACCGTCGTGACTTTTGTTGTCGTGCTGACTCTGATCATGGAAGATCTTATTCATCCCCAGCTTATCCCCTAGACCCTTTTGCCACCCCGACTTGGCCCAATAGCCGATAAGATCCTCACTCACTGATTCCAGCTTCCCCTGGTGGCGAGCTAGATCCTTGACCCAATACGGAAAGACGTAGAGATGCGCATCGCGATAACTAGTCAGCATCTTGACCTGCGCATACTTCTGCACTAATGCATGGCGCACAAGAAAGCCCTTTTCCTGTTCCATCCTCTCTTTCACAGTATCCATAGGCATTGACATGAGTAATTTTGATAGACCAAAGCGCAAGGCTGATGGTCCGTCAACGAGATGTGATACTACCGGAGCTTCATCCTGCCCTAGAGGCGCAACAGCCACAAAGTCGGTGGCCTCACCCTTTACACTCTCCTCACGACCTACTGTCTGATAATATACGGCAAGCCCGCCGCGACGGCCACCTTGCTCCCCACCCGGGCCATCAGGGTTCCCTCCCAGAGCTCCCTGAGTGACCAACCACGCCTCTAGTATAGATTCACCCGGGATATCACATATAAGGTCGCATGGAAGAAGGACGAAGTCTGTCTTGATGCATTCTTGAACTTCCGGAAGACGGAGTAATTCGGCCGTTCCCATGGTCATTTCGAGGTCTTTCGGGGCCACGACGGACACGGAGGGGGCAGGAAGCGATGTGAGATGCGGGTTTTGCTTTAGAGCAGCTTGAAGGGGGGCGAGGGAGGATGGGGGCGTAATTAATGTGATGTCTAATTCGAGACGAGCCGCAAATTTAGTCATTGAAGATCTCCGAGTGAAGCCGGGGGTCCATGTTATTTGTTAAACGCAAACGTACCTGTAATGCCTGATCGTTTGCAAAAGTCGATTGGATAGAAAACCATGGGCCTGTTCGCTATAGGAATGAGACTCTTCGGGTACTCCTCCGGGTTCGATGTGAAGGTGTTGAGAGAGACGCCGGGGCCGCATAGAATGAGGGCCTGAAAGCCCGTCGAGGGCACCGGAGCCGAAGATGGCATGGTTTCGAGACCGATAAACTCCGAGGGAGCAGACTGCGTATGAAGCGCCTTTGAAACAGACCACTCAATCACTTGGTTGACCCCGCGCCGCAGTAATGAGATCGTGGGGGTTTCGATACCTGGAACGCGACTGCGCTCTGGAGATGCACCTGTCTGTTGTGTCAAACGCTAGGTAGCACCAGGCTACTCAGATAACGCGGTCCGACTAGGCGCTGGGGGCTATATGACCGGAAATTGCTCGACGTGGTCCGTCGCGAACCAACTGATGCCGTAAATGGGAGCTGAGTTCGGGGACGATCACGTGCTGATAGCGGAATGAGTCAGGATCGGGAAGGCCCGACATTAGTTTTGTGGATCCCGTGCACGGTTCATCAACTATGGTCTTATGAGCTTCAATTCTATAAAATCCTCTGTTCTGAAACCATCTTTCATCAAGCTAAGAGTTTAGTATCAGTTGCGCCCTCTGATATAAAGAACGCGGACGGATCAATTTCTACAAAAGTTTTATGAGCCTACGTTTCACCCAAACCAATAGCCGCTTGTATGAGACCGTTATAGTCGTCCATCTTCTGCTCTCATAATACATGTTTGACATGGTAATAACACATGCCCTATGAAGGAAAAATTGCGTAAGGCTATCTTGCATCAGGTATTTCAGTAACACACTGACCTCCCATCAGAGAGGTCATCACTCCACAATTCCCAGTCCGGTCCCAGGCTACTTATTTCATCATCAGTCAGCGCGCGACGGGCATTGGCAGCTTCTTCAAACTCGTCCGGGGTCCGATAACCGCCCTTCAGGGCAATTTTGGATATATCGAAGATTGCCGAATTTGGGTCGGTGGCAACGCCATAGATTGTACTGCCCAATGCCCCTGCATCTCCGATGAGCGATATCATATTGGCCAATTGTTCCAAACCGTCAGAAATGTACGTGAGTTCGCCAAGAAAGGGGACAACCATTCAGACGCCAAAGATAATCTCCTCAACCATCGCCATCTTTTTCTCGGTCGAGGCCTTATCGGCAACTTAGACCACGTCGCCCATGTTTGCTGCCGCTTGACCCAGCGTGAACACGACGGTCGAGATGGTGAGAAGCACATTGTTCATGCTTCCTCCATTTGCACCAGTGGCCGACAGTATCTGGGTCAGATATATTGTCTCGGCCAAATTATAGATTCCTGGAAGTGCATCCTCGATGATCGTCTGTGGATTGGTCACGGTGATGTTATCAGCCGGTAGAGGGTAACCCTTCAGCACACCCTTGTCAGGCTAGCATGTCTTGCCAGATCCTACGCCCCAACTTGATCCGACATCTTTGTGCCCGAATTGCACCCAGTCCTTCTGGATTCCGTTGGTGGCTGTGAGGTTGGCCCAGAAGGCAGTAGCGTTAATGAGTTCGTAGTATATTCCATAGTCGTTATAAAGCTAGTCCACGTCAAACGGACATGTGGTTGTGAAAGCGTTCACGCCATCTTGGGCAAAGGTACACGTGAAGAAGGCATTTCCAGCACCCCCAGGGCTCATGTAATCCTCCAACACTCCAGAAGCCTCCTTGCGGATGTACTTCTGATACTCAGTACATTTGCCGCTGCTGAGATACTACTATTAGCTCGATAGCCCGTAACCAGATGGCATGGAAGTAATGATATGAATCACTGCGGAGTATCTTCGGCGAAAAAGAATCGCAAACCTGAACACCCTACCCATAAGTTGGAAGAGCGACGGGGGCGCTAGTGCGTCGGTACCCCGAAGGCTTAAAGCTATAAAAGCACGAAATGCTTGGTAGATCGTAAATGAGACTCTGGAGGTAGCAGTCTTATCTAGTCGAGTATATTCGTTCAGGCGGATGCGGTATAGCGGCCCACTCCTAGGCCTTATCAACACGGAGGTTCTGCCTAAAAAGGAAGTCGTGAGGCGCGGATTGAATGGCCTACTAGTATTCTTAAAGAGGAAAACGTGCCAGCGCACTCTCAGAGGTGAAATCGCTTCATGCCGAATTGGGTCAGCCACTATTGCTTCCGTAAACAAACAACCCCGAGACACCATCGCAGCGGTGCATGCTTGAAACACCTGTTCATCCCGTCCGTCGTTTCCGACTCCGATTAAAGCAACGGGAAATAAGCCTACAGAGCTATTCCTTCCCCAAACAACAATCAGCACCCAGCAACAAACTTGATTTAGGCAAACCTGGTGCAACGGGCACCTTCCCTTTTTGAAAATAGAACTCGAGGCATCTTACATCTGTATCCTTCAACCATGTATCTCGCATAATCATCACCCTACACATTAATACGAACACTCTTTTGATTGCTTTCCTTACCTACGTTAGATTGGGCCCCCGCGCCCGTTAAATTGAACGCCTGACGCTCTAGATAAGAGCGCCTGGTGCACCTTAATAGCGAAATGAACCCCCCGTTGCACTTTGATAACAGTGGAGCAGGCCCACTTCGAGTTCCGGGCTTCGACGGGATCCCCCTGGAGTATGAGTTTGACATCGGCCAGCGCTTTACTCACGGGGCATGGGAGGATAGCGAAAGGAAACCTTTTAGACTGACCGCACCTGAGGTTCATATGTTGCGTCTCATGGAGCGCATTACCGATAGTGAGAACTGGGACCAAGGAGTCTTTGATAGACATACGCTCGCCAAATGGCGTGCACAGGGAGCCTTTTGCGCAGACCGTAACTCCGATATGGATCAGGATGTTGACATGGACCTGATTACTACGAGAACATGGCTCTGGTGCGTTGCGGAGCTACAGGATAAGGCCAGAGCATTTCATGATACCGGTCATGTTGTTGTCCTCAATTCCGACTCTGGAGTATGTAAAGTCGATCGAGTCGTGACAGGGGCCCTGGTGCATCAACTTCAGGACGCACTTAGCCAACTACCCAAGTGTAGCGCTCATGACTTGGTAGACCCGTCACTTCATATGCTTATCTATGGTCGGACCATAGTACTCAGTCATGGTGGTCGGGTTACTCTTGAAGGGACTTCTAACCTGTATCCTCCCTCTAACCGGGGACAGACGGCACCAGTGCCAGATCATCCTCTGACTAAACTCGGTCCCTTTCCTCAAGCTTTCCATCATTGGAGCGATGAAGCGAAATGCCGACAATTCTCCTCCTGCTATCAATGGCTACCTTGCGACGTTGAATTCGCCGAGTCTTCGGGAACGGCGGTACGGATAACATCGTACATCAATAACCTCCACCCAATGAACATGAAAGCATATGCTTGCATTGAAAAGCTTATCTCTCTGGCTATAGGGCCTTGGAATGGCGTTCTGGTAAAAGGGTTTCGCGGTCGCACGCCCCGGCGGATCTATACATATGGTGTCTCTAATAGTGAAGTACCCCCATGGACAGAATACCCGCCGAAGGATCTACTGCCAGTTGTACTGTATCAAAAGATAACTCGATTAGACTGGGCGTCAGAAGACTGGGAAAGCCATTGTGACAAGGTCGAAGAATATCTTCGGCTACCAGATGTGGATCCGAAATATCGCGTTTTTCCACCAAAGCCCGATGATCCACCAGAGACCCAAGACCTTCTGGGTTACATGACCCCGGAGATGTGGGAATCTCCCCAAAGCGTCGAGAGGATAGTAAGGGCGAAGTGGAGACGACTTCATCGGTTCTCATACCCCGAGCCAGGCATCTCCTATACGTATGAAGACTGGAAAGAGGGTAAAACCGCCAAGCCAATCTTCGGTCCGTGGGAGTGGGAAGGTGAGTATGAGATGACTCACGATCATGAATACTACTCGGTGTCCTTGGAAGATGAGTTTCGGCAACAGGGCCTGCAGGTAATTGTGCGGGTCTTCAGTATCGACCTGACAACGAATGAACCCCATTATCCAGGGGATCAAGACTTCCATGTGGACGGCATGCTCAACGAACATATTGTCGCCACTGCCCACTTCTGCTATAGCTCGGATAATATCACTGAATCCCGCATTTCATATCAACAGAATGATGATTTGAGTCTGCAAAGTCACCAACCGGATCCCTTGTGCATTTACAAACTTTACGGTACACCTCCTTGCCCGGCAGTTGGCAAGGAGCCAAAGGGTCTGAATCTTCAAACACTGGGCTCGGTCGCAGTCACTAGCGGTCGACTTCTCGCTTGGTCTAATACCTTGCGTTATAAGAAGCATCCTTTCTCTCTTCTTGACCCAAGTCGCCCAGGACATCAACGGTGCGTCGTCTTGTGGTTGGTTGATCCACATTATCGGATCTGCTCGACTCGAAACGTACCCCCTCAACAGCATGACTGGTGGCGCAACGCCGTACTAGCGAACTCGACCTTGTTATCGACCCTTCCCAAAGAATTGATGGATATGGTAATGAATGAGACAGGGTCATGGCCAATGCATTTGTCCCAAGCCTTGGCGTACAAGAAAAGGTCGGAAGCAGAGAGGGAGGAAGCCCATGAAGCCCAGATGTCAATGTTTCAAGGATATTGTTTCTGGTATGAATTAGAATATCGCTGAGCGGCTGTATAGGGTATTTTCGAAGTTTGATAGCTCATTCATGCTTGGAGAGGGTTGTCCGTGGATTACGAGTATTTGCTTCCCTTCATTAAAGTGAATATGACATACTGTCTACCGGACGCGGAAATATTGCGCCACATACAATTGTAAATCTAGAATTCAATAAATAGAGACTTGATGCTGAGTACATTTCTCGACAACCGGTAATCTCAACCTTTCATTGACGGTGGCCGTGAACTTGTTAGCCGGATGTTTTTTGTAAATCCGAAATAGGGTAAGATGTAAGTTACAATGCGTGCTTCGCTCGCTCAAAGCCATACTTTTCATGTAGAGCGTATTTAGATTTACAAGTGGTAGGTTACGCCAATGATCTATTCGCAAATGCCGAAATTGCTAATCTTTCCAGCAGATGTTATTCAGCTGTAGAAGATTATACATATATACAACACTCCGCAGGCCTAAGAGATAAGATTCATGATAAGTTGTCTACTTTCTATTCAAGAGCGACGGTTGCAGATCAGTTGCTAGGGCTATTAGTAGCAATAGAGCTTATACACATATCATACCTGCTAATATGGTTGGTCGCTTTAACTTTGCATTGGGATTGCTTATACCTGCTTGCCATCTACACGGCCCGTTGCTCGATAGCGACCGCTGCTATGCCCACCAAGGCCGACCTCTGGCTTCGCGTAGCACTCCACACACTTTAAAAATTGTCTGGGAGAGACTGGACCACAGATCCTTTCTACCTGCCTTCTAATTGGCATGGTCAATGCGCTTAATCGGCCTTCTCCGATTCCGCGGTCGCTATATTAGCCGGCGTTAATGGTAGCCGCTACCGTGCCTGTACTTGTAGCCTGAGTCATAAATCTCGGTGATCGAAAGGGAACAGCCAACGAGTAAGTCAAACACCTCAATCTCCGTATCCTGCCTAAATCATAGGTTAGTTCTAGTTTTAACCTCGAGCAGGAGATCTGAAAGGTCCATGAGGTAATACGAGTCCCATCAGCCGCCGACCAATTTTCCGTTTCCGACCCGCGGACATTCAAGCTTTCTCGGCATTCGGGGAGATATAGCCCCGGCCTCGACTCGTTTCAGTTGATTCCTCACACAGAACCGTGGAATGAAGCAACGGAAAATTAGCAAGACAATAGAAAGTGGCTTCAGCGGTGCCGTGACAGGAACAGCATGTTGCATGTTTTTGGGGCCATTTACTTCGCAAGGCATCACCGTGACAAACGTCAGGCCATGTGTCATGTATGCGCCTTTGTTTTGTTTCACCGCATCAGCCACATTTCAACATGCAATGCGAATGTTGATTATGTGTCATAGTGATATTCTAGACGGGGGGCTAATATGCCTACCACCCCAGGAGAGAGCCTCGTGTGGGTTCGGGTTCCATCAGATCAATGTTTTAGTTATTGATCGTCATTGACTCATCGGTTGCAAAGTGGGGGGATTCCCGCTCGGAACCCGATCAAGGTGAATCAGGGTTGCTTCCATTTCTTTGCTCTTATCTCCGGTGCCAAGGGCCGTGGTTGGCCCACCGCGAACAGACACTACTCAGACCACACTTTTTCTTCTTTTTCTCCAGCAGAGAATTTTGTACGATGTACGATGAACGGAGTACGCCCTCCGATCAGGCATCGGTCTGGCCAATAGGAGGATTTATGGCCCCCACCACGCTGCCAGTCATGCTGTGACAATGGCTGTGAAGTTAGCTCTTAGGGCTGCAAACAAACGGGGGCGGTTTGCTTTTCCCGTGGTCCATGTTCCAATAGAAGCTTCTACTAAGGGCCCGCGGAGGCCGTAAGCACCGACTCGCCGTGTCGTCGCAATCATCAGTTTCTTAAGTCCGAATCTTAGTTTCGAAAAGCCCGAAAGTTCTGCATGGTATTTATCTCCTTGGGTAGCTGCTACCCATCGCTAAAGATGTTTTTCTTCACAATATCGAAATTAAGCTTCCTACATAATGGAGAGCGCAAAACATAGTGAAGCGACGTTACAGGCGCAATCTGTCGCCATAGACGACAAGAGTCTACGTGAAGATGTACACACCCCACCGGCAGAAGCGCCAGTTACAAAATCCGATGAAAAGCCCGACGAGCAGAAGTGGCTCACAGGCCTCCCTCTTCTGATGGTCATGACGGCAGTCACGCTGGTGGTGTTTTTGATGTTATTAGATGTGTCTATTGTGTCTACAGTGAGTCTACTGATAACAGTAATCGATGTAACTTTTGTTGTACGATACGAGAGTACTGACAGTTCAGGCTATTCCTCATATCACGAACCAGTTCCATTCGCTTGATGATGTCGCCTGGTACGGTAGCGCATACACAATTGCGAGCGCATCGCTACAGCCTCTTACTGGCAAATTCTACGGCAACTTTGTTCAAAAATGGACCTTCCTCGGCTTCTTCTCGGTTTTCGAACTAGGCTCTCTCATCTGCGGTGTCGCTACCTCATCAAAGATGCTTATCGTTGGACGCGCTGTGGCGGGCATGGGGTCTTCGGGTATGGTCAACGGCGCGCTTAATATCTTGGCTAGCATCCTACCTATGCATAAGCGACCCATGTTCATGGGATTCATGATGGGATGTGAGTACTTCACTCCCAGCTACAAGTGATAAAGGCTGACACTGGAGTAGTTTCTCAACTGGGACTAGTGTGTGGTCCGCTCATCGGTGGTGCATTCACCTCATATTCGACATGGCGTTGGTGTAAGTGTTACTCCTCGCCCATTTGTAGAGATACGTCTAACCACAACAGGCTTCTACATCAATCTTCCAATTGGTGCCCTGGTTGGCATCCTTCTAATATTTACCAACATTCCAGAACAACATGCCAAACCCAGAGCTGCGGAAGTCTTCCGGTCGGTGATTCTCAAGAAATTCGACCTCTTCGGATTTGTCCTGTTCGCACCCGCCGCCATTGAGCTGCTGTTGGCTCTTCAATGGGGCGGCAGTCGGTACCCCTGGAATAGTTCGACTATCATCGGTTTGTTTTGCGGGTCCGCTGCGACATTCGTCGTCTTCGGTCTCTGGGAGCGGCGCATGGGTAATGATGCTATGATCCCGGGACAGTTAGTAAAACAGCGCATTGTTTGGAGCAGTTGCATGACCATGTCGATGATGTTCGGAATGACCATGGTTATGGCGTACTACCTACCCATCTACTTCCAGTCCGTGCGAGGCGAATCCGCTCTCATGAGCGGTGTCGACTTGCTGCCGAATATTCTATGCCAGCTGGTCATGGCAGTGCTCTCGGGTATCCTTAGTAAGTGGCCAGCATCTACGCCCCCTTAATTTATACCACAGATCCCTAACATCCCCCAAGCCGGCAGATTAGGATACTATCTCCCATGGGCCATCTTTGGCTCCATCATGACCTCCATCGGCACTGGTCTGCTGTCAATGCTCTCCCCCACCACCTCGACACGAGATTGGGCCGGCTTCCAAGCCATAGTAGGTCTTGGACGCGGCGCTGCTACTCAAGTAGTACGTTCACCCCACATCCATCGCCCACTGGAAACCCCCAACTAACAAATGATGCCAGCCCATGGTCGCCATCCAAAACGCCGTAACCCCCGCTCAGATATCCCCGGCAATGGCCATCCTCACATTCAGTCAAACCTTCGGCGGCTCTATCTTCCTCGCCGTCGCTGAGGTCCTTCTCACCGCAGGCCTGAGAAAGAAGATTCCCGAGTACGCACCGAGCGTCAACCCCGAGACTGTCATCTCAGCGGGCGCTACTGGATTCCGGGATGTCGTTCCAGCCAAGGATCTTCTCTCGGTGCTAGTTGCGTATTCGAAGGCGATTGACGAGGTATTCTATCTGTGTGCGGCGCTTTGTGTGGTTCAATTCTTCTTTGTGTGGGGCATGGGGTGGAAGAATGTCAAACAGGGGAAGCAGGAGCAGGAGAAGAAGTCGGGTGGGGAGGGTAAGGAAGTGGTTTAATTGCACTTTTGTTTTCTGTGAATTGCGTTGGGTTCCATTGCATGGTTTTGCGGTGTTACGTTAGACTATCATAGAGTCATAGTTGGCTTGATTAGCGACTGGTTCGTGTTAATGATAATTATCTCATCTCATGCTTGGCATTGTATGCTTTTGCTTTACGTAGATGCAACCCGGTAAGGAATTTGGTCAATATTGTGAAGGACCAGACTCCTGGATGTGTAAGGCTTCAAGTGTCATAGTAACAGAAATGTCACCACGATCGCGATACTACTACATGATCGAGATGGAAAGTAAAAAAGAGACACACACAGAAACAGAAATAGAATCAGTAAGCATGTAAGGTGTTAACAATTCGCAACATTGTTGTCAGAATTGACAGAAGAGCCTTAGAAATAAAACGAATAGAAAGACTACTTGTTCCAACCTCAAAGGCCACTGAAATCATTAGACAGGGATATACTGCATGTTGAACCCTGTGCTAGACAATCGACCGTGAATAAATAGAAAATATTTAGTAGGTCTGAGCAATGGCTCCTAGTACTAGAACGATCGGACCTAAATTGTCCATGGCATCAGGATTGAGGGTATTCCAAGTACCGCACTGATGCATCTCAACAATGCTGTGACGTACCTGTATATGGACTCGTGTTTGCTTGTTCAGTCTGATGAAATGGCCTGGCCTCGGCAATGGCCTTGATGTTACCCCTTGCTCAAAGCACCTCTCATTACGATGGTTCAGCCTAACCCAACATGACTTGTTCTATCATAAGAAAAACCCTATTTTCAGGAATTCAATGACTGCATTTGCTAGTCGCACCACCTGCAGCTAGCTGTTATAGCAGGACATTGTCCAAAAACATAGTTCAGTCTTGTATCCTACTTGTAATCTTGTGGGGGATCTTTATACTTATGCATAAGATACCTCAGAGATGACTTCCAATTTTCAAATAAATCCATCGATGGGATGCGAAAGCAGCACATGGACAGAAGTGAAAATGATTATTTGCACGGTTTCTTCCTTCCTTCCTTCCTCTTCTTCTTACTATTATTATTATTTATTTCTCTATTTTTTCTCAGTGGGTAAAGGGGTGGATGAGATTGGGGATAGAGTTAATTGATGGCAAGTTTCGGCCGCCTCGGGTAGGTAGGCGGGTATTATTCCTACAACGCCAGCTGCGTCATTTACGCTCCCAACACCATCCGATACCTCCCGAAAATTCGTAAACTTCAGACATTATAACGTAAACCACAATCGCGCGGCCCATCAAATATTGCTATATAAAAGTCATTTTTTTAATCTTTAATATCTCAACCAATTTTGAAAATAATGGTTTTATCTTAGAGTAATAGGTTAAGATAGCCAAACATTTATTTTTAATTATTTTTTCAGATTTTAATAACTATATATAACAGCTGGTAATATAAAATACCAGTAATTTACTTATAATTTAAAAAATCTCTGAAATTAAATACAAATAAATTATTAATTTTTATTTGAATGCTTTGAATATATTAGTTTTATTATTATTAATCTTCATTCAACATCGTAGACTTATATAAAGTGTAGTTATCGAGATATTATAATTATTATAAAAAATAAAATTTGTATGGCGTTACAAGATGGGCCGCGTGATTGTATGGGCCGCGCGATTGTGGTTTACATTAAATGCTACAATAAAGAAATGTATCAGTAGCAGGTTTTCGCTATAGGCCCATTATACAAAGCTACTATGATATCGGGGTCTTACCTCGTCCTTTCCGCGGCTGGGACGGTCTCCTACCACGCCTACTTCAAGCATAGAGAAAACCACCTCAGAATTGTGCTCTACATTCAAGTCCTTGCAAATATACTCATAGCAGAGGTGTTGCTTTTCCAGCATCAAGAGGGTCTAGATCTTGCCGCTGCCTTCACTCAAGCAGCCCGCATTCAGGGCAGCATTTTCAACGGTTACACACCAGAATTCTCATCTATCGCGTATTATTTCATCCCCTCAACAACTTTCCAGGTCTCTTCGGCTGTAGGATTACCAGTCGTTTCCTCCCAGCTGCATTCCCACGCAGCGATGCATTTCGGCAGGTGCACAGGCTACATGATCTGCACGGCCCCTTTGTTCATCTCCGACAAACTACCTGTCTATCGCGCACCCCAAGGCTATAAATGTGATATATGGACCGGGGTCCCGGTGTACTAAAGCAGATTAGTACGATATTAGCTATCCAATGGTGTCGCTACAAACTATGCGTAACAAGAAACCGCACGAGGAACGACGCCATGTTTGGAGCGCCGCATTTGGGGATAAGGCAGTGCGAGGCTACGAACAGCAATTGCGTCGCTACCTCGACGACCTAGTAGATTACTTCAGCTCGCAGGCTGTGGCTGGTAAGCCTCTTAACATCACCAAATGGTTTGAGCTGTATAGCTACGACTTCATGGGTGACCTCACCCTTGGAAAGTCGTTCGGCATGCTCGAGGCGCAGAAAGATCACTGGGCTATACACTTACTCAAACAGGCAATGATTCCTCTCGGTCTTTACTTGCCCACGTGGTTCTTCCGAGTTGTTACCTCGATTCCGGGGCTGTCGCGGGCTTGACAGCGGTTGTTTGACTTTTGTGGTGAGAGGATGATGGAATGAATCAAGGTTTGCTCCCCGCCAATATTTCAGCTACCAGCTCCATCACATATTGACGAGGTGTAGACTCCACCGGAGATTCCTGACGTTGCTTCAGTTCTTGTGGCGCCGATCAGGGGCCAGCAGCCCTCACGGGAGCAATGGGAACTATTAAGAGGAGACGCACAGTTGGTTGTACTAGCTGGCAGGTTAGGCTTTGTAAATGATTGAAAGCTCTGAAATCTTGGCAGTGATACAACAGCTACCATCCTCGCCGCCGCCATGTATCAAGTGGTACGGCATCCAGAGCAGGTGCAGCGACTCCGCGATGAAGTTTCCCCATACATAACCGATCCGTCGCATGAGGTCTTACACGGGAAGATAGCCAACTGACCACATCTCAACGCCGTCATCAATGTGACTCTGCGGCTTCGTTGCAAAGAAAGACTCCACGACATCCCGGGTAACATGACAGTCATGTGCCCGCAGTATGTGCTAGGCCGTGGTAGATCCGAGTCCTCATCCACAATATCAAACATGGGGCTGATTGCATACTTGCCATAGATGAAAAGGCCCATGAGCGCCCGAAAGAATTCCTTCCCGAGCGTTGGTATCTACATTCAGAGATATCTTTACCCCTTTTTGGCTAGGTGAGGCGAGATGTCATTTCCCCCTACCGCCAAGACAATCGGTGCTGACCAACTTCTCGTTAGGTCCATATGGGTGTAATGGCAAACCCCTGGCTTTGCTTACTCTTCGCAGCACTTTAGTACGACTGGTCACGATGTTCGATTTTGAGTACGCTCCTGGAGAGGATGGGACGGCATTTGAGGGGAAGGCGAAGGATAGGTTTACAATGAGCTATGGGGATTTGCAGACACTCTTCCGGGTGAGAAGGAAAATGTGATCCAGGTGAACATTGTACGAAAATCTATTTAAGAACAGCCCTGAATGCACCTATATATGGACCAGTTTATGTAATTAAGGCGACTCTGCGTGAATGTCCCACATCTTCTGATAGAGTTACGAGATGATTCCATCATGTTCATCTATAGTACAGTGCACTACTGATTCAATCTGTTAATCCTATTCGAGCTCCATCTTGAGTCATAGAGTTACTTGTGGGAAAAAAGGTTGAAGCCCATTGGGTATATTCGGCCCACACTGGATCTCGCTTACTGTTAGGATCTCGGTGAGCTTGCGCTGGAGAATATCATACCTAGGCTATATATTCAACTACTTATTGGTTTGATTCCGCAGTTCTATTATTCCTGAAATTACTTCAGACGGTATGACGCATTACTGTTACCATCCAGGAACTGGAAGATAAGGTTTGCCGCCGCCCCTGGTAGTGATACAATGATGTAATGAGGCGTTAATCCCTAGGGTAACGACTAGCAGAGGAAATATTGAAAGAAAAGGATAAACTTACTCTTCGAGCAAATTCAAAAGGCAGAGTTTTTGTTTACAAGGTGTGCTGCGAGAGCGACCACCACTAGATCATGCTTATCGCTTTCGCATCTTGTTCACACTATAGTTTTACGAAACCAAATCTTTCAAATAACCACCATCAGGCAAGAAAAAGTAAAGTTAAAACCCTACTAGTACTACAGTTATCGTTCAATTACAATCTGTAAGAAACCTTAGCGGAAACATACCATGTGCCGCTAATATCCTGACACACGTAATATGAAGATCATGCTACCAGGATCTTTGTCAAGCAGGATATTGTGCTTGTAATCTTATATAACTAGCACTATATTTAGAAAGCATGTAACAGCAAAGTCATCTTCGCCCTTGTATCTTGGAAGTGTCAGCTGCCCAGCCCTTGCGTCCATGATGACGGAAGCTTGACATAGGTACATTCTTGGCGCTTGAGCTTCAGATAATCAGAATCTCCCAACCCAGAATGAGTAATTCCCATCTGTCTTTTAGGTTTTAGCTGTTCACTTGGTTTCGTCGGCTGACCTTGATTGAAGATATATATACTCTATTGCCGGACGATAAGACCCGGTTGATCAAATATAGAGAGGGAGGCTCATCGTGTCAGGAGTAGTAAACTCGAGATGTTATCACAACAATCCAGAGCAGCGCTGTCTCGTCCCCATCTTTCAGCTTTTGGCCTCTCAAGGCTGAGATTAAAGAGTGGGAGACCCCTGTGGCGCGGTGCAATATCAAACTTCACACGGCCTATGGCCGGGCAGCCGCATGTAAAAGAAAGGCTGCCTAGGAGTGAGAAAGCCCGTGATCGATTCCGAGCGTTCTCTCTTGCAGGAAAGGTATTTGCAGTGACGGGTGGTGCAAGGGGGTTGGGGCTGTCGATGGCCGAGGCATTGGTCGAAGCTGGCGGACGAGGTGATATTTTCTCTCTACTCATATCGATTTCGCCTCCATAGCTCACGTCAACGGTACATAGTATACTGTCTCGACAGGCTTCCTGAACCAGATGACGAATTCCATGCAGCAGAAGAACGCGCAAACCACGATTTCGGAGGATCTCTACACTACCGCCGCATGGATGTAACCGAGGATGCAAACACCGAAGCCGTGATGGCTGACATCGCAGCACAAAACAATCGCCTAGACGGTCTCATTGCAGCTGCAGGGATAAATTACGTTGCTAGTGCGATTAGCCACACACCTAAGAATGTTAACGACGTGATCCACATCAACTACACCGGCGTCTTTCGCAGCGCTGTGGCAGCTGCGAAAGCGATGCTAGAGATGAAGTGCCACGGGTCCATCCTCCTTGTGGCAAGTATGAGCGGTATCATTGCCAACAAGGGCATGGAGTCTGCCATATATAACTCGTCCAAGGCTGCAGTAATCCAGCTGACGCGGAGTCTAGCAATGGAGTGGTCTGAGGTTAGGGATAATGGTGCGGGCGGGATCCGGGTGAACTGTCTCTGTCCTGGGCATATAGAGACACCAATGGCAAAGATGGTTATGGAGAAGGATCCCGATACTAGGGAGCTGTGGAGATCAGAAAATATGATGAAGCGGCTAGCAAGGCCGGAGGAGTTTAGGGGCATTACCTTGCTGCTCATGAGCGATGCATCGAGCTTCATGACCGGTAGTACTGTGATTGTCGACGGTGGGCATACTGCTTGGTAAAGGCTTGTCTGGGCAGAAGTTGAACCGTTGTACTTGCAAGAGGAGGTGGCTGCAGCGATTGAGATTAATTGGTTTAAGCCGGTGATTGATGAAAGGGTTGTTTGGTCGTAATAATCTGCCAGATGCTTACATGTATTCTAAGTCGCTCGGCATTGCAGAAGGGTGATTAGTTGATATTTAGTAGGGTACGGGGATCGACGAGTCGAGTACTGCCCTCAAAGAGTAGAGTTTGAGTGTTTCATTGACTAGGAAGTCTGTGCAGTCATATCGCTTCTGCTTACCCAGATCAGCGGGCGATAAACGACTTCAGCAAGCTAGTACATAAGATGGAGGTTTCCAGTCGGTTGAGGGTGAAAGAACGCATATTAAGTATTCGTTCGTTGAAAGAGAAACTACTAAGCACAGAAGCCGGGGGGATCAGGACAGAAATTGACCAAAATTACAATACTCGCGCAATAGCTATAAAACCCACGAACCACCAGAAACCGGAAAAGCCCTGACCTCTTGCTCGACGAGTTAGATTCGGACTACCGTTTTCGACGTATCACCGATAGGATCGCCAAGGAACCATTGTGCGAACGTCTTGAACTCGGCTTTGTCTAAGTTTGTGAAGTCATAAGATTTAGTGTGGCGTAACACTAATTTCTGGCCATCATAATATGCCTCGATGACACGTGGGCGCTGTCTGTTCAGTGAGAAAAGTAGGACCTGGTAGTTCAATTAACGGTGCTCTTTTTGATTGTGATTGCAGAAATGGGTGTGCATTTACCGGTGCTATCATGTCATTTACGAATACCTTCTGCTTCAGTTGGCCCAATATGATGCGCACGATGGTCAACACCTCCCCATATAGCAGATGACTGTCATCTGCATTGAGGTCATTGTGCATGATGCATTTAATATGCGGCCTGGCGGCCTTGGCGACATGAAATATTGACAATGTGCCAAACTCCGGCTCAAACGTGCGGTAAAGGTTACCGAAGCCGTAATCCCCAATCCTGAAGACTTGATTAGTAAAGAAGGATGAAAGAACGGAAGGTACTATGACTATGGACTTACTGGTTGCTTGACCATACGCGTCGGACTGCGGGAAAGTCGATCATCAACTTGCGAATGTATGACTGGAGGTAGATGTAGATCAACCGTCCGTATTCGCTGGACAGTGTGAGTCTGGCAGTGTTGTAATCTCGATCGACATATTCTTCTGTCGGCTCTGGTATGCCCTGAGCGAGAAATGGACCGAAAAACTTTGGTGCGAGGGAATCATTACAGCGGAGGCTCAGTGGCTCCGTTTGGATGTGGTATCGCTTTAGCAGGGTCTCGTCTAAGGTATAATAACCCTGATCTTCCAGGCTGCTAAAGTCCCTCTCCAGGAGGGTGAGTGCTTTGCGGAGAGTGTGCCGATCGCGTGACTCAGCGTTGGACTCCATGACCACAGCTTTTGAGGGAAATAATCGGCAATGAGAGAAACACCGAATTAAGCAATTGTATAAAATAGAGGAGAGTGAGGAAAGGACTGGCGATCTTATGTGTTCGCAGCAAGTGTCCGCGTTATATAGCAGGAAGGGGTATGGGCTGAGGCTGGCTCTCGGCTGATGATCCTCGCCGACGGAAATCTGCTAGCGTTGCCCCGCACTGGGTCTGGAGCCAATCAAAAGTCGATCCTCGTTGCCGCTGGCGGCATCACAGCCCTGGCTGCATCGGCTGTGATTCTTGCCTCTCCCTTCATTGTCTTTCTTTCCTGCATCTATTGGCTATGAAGCATCGTTTCCTGCTTAAAACAAGGCGTGCTGCTAGCTTCGTCTTAGGAAAATACCTCAAAGCCGCACACACATGGTGTTAACTATATTTAGTCATCTTAACCATTGGCCAAGTAGGCGCTCGGTATAGCTCGGGCTTGGTCAACCATCAGACAACGAAGTTGATTGACCAGTGTGAAAAGAAAAGAGCGTTTCGCTGCTACTGTGGTGCGCATATAGTAACAAATAATTCACTACAGGATGACATTGGCAGGGAACAGAATCCATGACGGCCTCCAACTGTGCGCTAGGCCCTATCTATTGGGTGGTTTGTCCTAACCTACATACCGCTTGACATGGGAGACAAATGCTGAGGCGGCAACTCTTAGGCGCCATGTATATAGCCCCTGATGTTCTTGCGAGAGCGGCTAAGGGGTGCTACCCGACGACATAAAAGGCACCGTTCTCTCCGTTATCAGAATAGGAATAAAGTCCATCACATCAAACATCACATAGCGTTTCTGCTAAGACCTTCTTCTTCATTGCATACTCGGTCTCTACTTCGCCCAGCATGGTTGACGCATCCACCGAAGTCCCGGACTCGCCGAGAGCCTGGCAAGAGCAAGTCAACTTTTTGGGACTGAGCAGCCAAACTATCCACAACGTGCCGTTGAAATCCGCATCCCATGTTCCTAGGGAGCAGTTCCTCATGCTCCGAGTGCTCTGGAAATCTCATACATCATCTGCATTTTTGGACTATTTCGACTTAAACCAATGGCTGCCACGTGCGAACGCCATGTTGAAACATGTTTCCTCGTGGGACAAATACTGTAAAACCTTCGATCCAAGAAGCCCGATCCCCGAAGGGACATTCGCTGCAGCCCGTTATTACCAAATTCAGGTCTCGAAAACAAAGCAAGATAATTCTGGAAGTGGTGTTTCCTTCACTCCTAAAGTCCATAACACCCGTTCTAGGGCGCAACCCGCACAGCCTCCGATCAGGCAACCGGACTTCACCCCCGCAACCCCTTCAAGGAAACCAAACCAGACCTTCGAAACGCCTCATGTGGTCGATGATGCAGGCAGAAGTCCCTCGGCCTTATCCTCCTTCTCCCCCCCTTCCCATTGGAGCACCATTAGCCCCGACGATGAATTCATGTACCCGCCAACAAAAGATGAACAAATTGTGAATACCGCTTTGCTGGTCTACCTTGATTCTCTCACACTCCACTTCAACCTCCCTGTCAGTTGGTCTCTGCATCGAATGGCATTGACTGCAGAATTTACGAATGCAAAGTTCGAAGCCAGAACAGATGGCTATCTCGCGGATTCCAGTGGGGATATCAAGGCCATCGTCGAGGTTAAGCCTATGCTGAGACAGACGAAGGAGCCCCAGATTCGAATCCAAGAGAGCCACCAAATGGTGGCCGGGCTACTAATGGACTACAAATCAACTTTACCTGCACGCCGAAATAAGCCGTAAGTGAAGAATGTTCGCTCGCGAGGTGTTGCCTTCTATTCACTGACTCCCCTTATCAACAGCCGCATTATAATATCACAAGATAGACAGGAGATCTATATCTCCGTGGCCAAATACGACGATAATTACATTGCCTATCTTCAAACTGGAAATAATCAAAATAACCCATTCATGACCATGCATCAGTTTGGTCCTTGGAATACTCACAGCGCCGCTGCCATGCGGGAATTAGGCCCGATTCTTCTAGCTATCAGCCTTCGTGCGCAGGATTACTAGCCGGGGGGACGCATTTACATCCGGTCCTCTTTTCATGTCATGTACTTACTGAAGCCTTTGTGTCGGTTATTTGTTCTTGCTTCTATACTCTGTATAGGAATGTGTGGCTGTATCCGTGTATCTTGGGACGTTCTTCGTCTGCTTCTGTTATTGAACTTATTTGTTTATTTATGCTCATTAAGGCCACTATACCTACATAGCCAAGCAAGCATATAATATAATGAATGGTGTACTGACTTGTAGTGTATCGCGTTGGATATATATCGTTTGGCTGCATTACTAAAGTATGGAAAGAAGCCTGGCAATCAACGAAGAGAGGAGTCACTAGAGACATTTGTCACAGAGCCTTGGTGGTCAGTAACCTTTACGTTTGCCCGTTCATCTACAACCAACCAGCATTGAATAGAACTTCGGGGTAACTGTTGTTAAACATTCACCAGCCATTCCTCTTTATTCTTTCCCATCAGATTTGATGGAATGCCGGTCGATTGAAAGAAACACAGCATTTGACTTTGAGATCCAGAAGCTCATTCAAAGCGCACACATATGTAAGCCATCTAGGACAGGGTATCTGAAAGATAAAATGCAATCTCTCACAGCACAGAAGCATGGCTGAAGGAGGTTGAGCCCACCGACCGTGACTTATATTGCGCAGCGCATCGTACATACCATCAAGAGTCACGGCCAGAGGCCCATCAGGCGCACTTGAGCCCAATAGAAGCCTCCAAGCAATGACCTCACTGATCGCATGGATGTCCCGAGCACCCTCCTATACGTCGATTTGAGAAAAACGACGTGAAGAGATCGCATAGTTATTGGTGTGCTTCATATTCCGACACCCTGATCAGCAACGTGTCCAGGCAACTTTTACCATTCAGTGTTTGAATAAGCAGTCTATTGCCTGCTCCCCAATCAAACTGTCAAATGTCATGACGCGTTTGAATCGACTTTGTAGACCTGGGTTAGACGCCAGCAATAATTCTATTCCCTGGCCATACCCAGCTAGAATGATGAACATATCATGCTCAAACCGCGGGTTTGCCATAGCGCCCACTGTCTCTCCCACTACTTCCTTTGAAAGTTGATAGTTCTCAACGAGGAGATGAGCTTTATCTATGAGTAAGGCCTCCCCCAAGGCCCGGTCAAACAGGTCAAAGACCTTAGGCCCTGTGTGGCCCGAATACTCTCCAACGAGATCGGTGACTGAGCGTTCTATTAGCTCGGGGGTAGCGAGAATACCCACGTGATGGGATATCTCGCTCATTCGCCGTGCAGTCGAAGCTTTACCAGTACCTGTAGGGCATTAACACCTGACGTGGTCTTACATGATGCAGATGACATACGTGGTGCTCCTCGAAAAATATAAATTGAGCGGAATAGGTTCTCTCAAGCCGAGATTCCGTATTATAGTTCTTTTGGCGATTCGTATGTCGTCTAATAGCTGTTCAACAATAGAGTCGCAGCCTTTTACATTGGAGAAAAGCTTTCGGCACTCCTTTTCCACATCGCCAAACCGGTCCCAGTCTTTGGAGAAATCTTCCGCAGTCAAAATTGTTGAGATATATAGAAGTTTCTCGTTAAGTGCCGTCTAGTGATAGAATTGGTAAAAAAAAAATACTATAGAGTGTGATGAGATTCCTAATAATAATGATTTTCAATGAAATATAATATGTCCAACTAGTTTTTAAACCCATTACACTTATAATTTATCAGATATATAATTGATCAAGTGGCTCGAGGGATCTGCCAGAAGGAAGAAACAGAGACTGAGAGAGAATCATGAAGTGGCTTCAGGTCTCGTGACAACCTCCATTCATATCTTGCTGGTAGCAAGCGCTAAGATTACCATAATGATAATTGACTATATTGTGGCCATCATGTAACCATCCAGGTTCTACAATGCACCCAAGATGTTACCCCGGGCCAAAGTGTGGGTCATTCAGATTAGCTAAGTTTGACCCACTGGCACAGCCACCAGGCTGGCGCGGCCCTCCAGGCTCCAGGGCTGCCTGAGATGTTCCCTCGAGATATTTTCCCATCCAAACCAGCTTCATGTTCAACTCGCTAGCAGTGGCACAGAACAATCCCACATCAATGGCAATCAGCAGGCTGGACCAGCGTAAGGCCTCGCGTCGGTCACACCAGAAGTCGCGGTTAGGCTGCCGCAACTGTAAAAGACGACACATTAAGGTTTTCCGCCCCACCTCCCGATCCTGTATGCGTATCTGAAGAAGCGTAATGCTAACGGCCAATTCAGTGCGATGAATTACGACCACAATGCTCTAATTGCAAGAACCACTCAGTCAATTGTGATTACTCTGCTTCAACCGGGCTAGACAGGCAACCGCTATCAGCAAGAACCTCCCAGTCTACATTACCAGCAAAGCCGGACCGCTTCATCAACTGGATCTTCGTCCCATCTCTCTATCAAAGCCCACCGAACAACCCATGTCCTGACTCTATTGCCAGATCAGTTACCCCGACTTCAACTAGCGCTCAATATTCCCCGTCTTCATCATCCAGTCGGTCAACTCCTTCGCCATCCTCTTTCCAACCCATCCCCGCCCCTACAACATTTGACTTTCATGACTTCACCCTTCACCACCACTACCTAACCTCAACCTGTTACACACTCGCCGAAGATGACGGCAGTCTTCACTTCTGGCGTGATGAAGCCCCCAAAATGGCAATCTCGCATCCCTTCATCCTACATTTGATCCTGGCGCTATCTGGGCTGCACAAGGCCAGGGTCGACACCGACAACACATTTTCGAATCCCGGAGCAAATGATTCCTGGCTAGTAAACAGAGCAGAGCATCACTCTGCAAAAGGGCTAAGTGAACTATTGTCTCTTCTCGCTCAAGTTAGCCCCAACAACATTGCGGCAGTGTGGGCGGGGGCCACCATTTTGTGTTTTCTGCCTATGGCTCGGGGTCCGCGACCCGGTGACTATTTGTTCTTTTCGATTGGCACTGATCATGAAAGCATGGTACAGTGGCCTTCTTTGGTGAAAGGAGTGAAAACACTTTCTGGAATGTCTGGTGATATCAAGCCTCGGGGGGACAAAAGTGGCTCATCTCGAGTTGATCAAGGAGGCATGACGTCAGGAATAAACTACCGGGGATTGTTACAGGCCTTGAGGGAGCGGATTCCTCTGCATGGCCAACAGCGCGGAGAACTGAATGCCCGGGAACTGAGAGACTGTTATATTAATGCTATTGCTATGTTGGAGCGCGTGCTCGATGAGACGCATGGGGAAAAGCAAGATTGGGGAGAGAATAATACTGGCAGGTTGGCGATGATTATATACGATTGGATTTGTTGCTTCGAGCCTGCACTGAATGCCTTCCAGAACAAAGAGCCAGTAGCATTGATACTGCTGGCTTACTTTCTCGTGCTTATGAAATTACATGACGGAGTGTGGTTTGCTCGGGGCTGGGCGGAGCATATCATGGGGGGTATTGAGGAATGCTTGGGTCAAGATGATCGTCGGTGGCTACAATGGCCGATGAAGCAGATTGGAATGCACAAGGATGCAGGTAGTAAATTCTATGCAGCGGAAGAAGAAGAATGTTATAAATCAGCCACCCCCGAATTAAGCATTTAATCAATTTGTTTCCAACATGAAAATTGCCCAACATTGGGTCCTTCCATGAAAGACGCCAGGCCCAATGAACACGGCATCAATTATACCGAGATCCGTTGTTCGCTGAATCATGCTCCCTTCCCAGCAATCCTAACTTATCCCCATGACTGGCTTCCTCCAAGTCCTCCAAGACTAGTGTCTGCTCACTAACCATAGGTACCGAGTTCGCCCGCATTTCAATTTTCCGCAGCAGTTGCCCCGGATGGAACAGATTAAAGATAATAACAGCCGGCACCATCATCGCCCCATCCAACCCAATCAACAATTTCTCATTCCGCATCGTTGAGCTCGTCCAGCCATGTAGGAGTTCAATGGTCCGATAGATACTCCGGATATATATCAACAAAACCGAGAAAACCATGGCCGAGAATAAAGCGATCACTACAGGCATGTGCGCATTACCCCGGCGGCAGGGCACTTCGCGGCAGAACACGCGCCAAGCAAAATCAGCTCCAAGTGCAACGAAGACTGTTATAGCCACAAGTTGGAAGATGATGCCGCCGACCATGATATGTGTTCCGGTTGACTGGGACGAGGAGGAGGAGGAGGAGTCTCTGGCGCTCACCGAGCTGGTACTGGAGCTCGAACCCCCACCGCCAGCTCCTGATGAAGCCATTCCACCGCCTGCTGCCTGGACGACTAACGAGATGATGTCGCAGGTGCAAAATATGTAGAGGTAGAGCTTAGGAGAAAGGATGGACGATTGGGGGCCAAATATGCGGATGAAGCGGGCTAGCAGGACGTAGATTCCTGCGGTGAAGAATGTTGGTGCTGTCGACGGATGTTAGATTTGTACCAGTACCTGAATTGGGGTATCGCACCTATGATAAGGGTGGTAATTTGCATGAGATATGGTGTCTGAGCATAGGGACATTTAGCAGACCAAATTCGGGCGCCCCATCCGAGAATTTCGACTGCGTTTCAGTTAGCATAAATAGAACAGGCTTTGTGATTGTCGAAAGACCTAAGCATCCTAGTGAAAACACGGAGCACCACCAAGTTCGAAACCACACCATTTGGATGGCATGGCCTAGCATCGAGACGCCGAAGAGGGCTACAAAGGTAGACGCTGCGGCGAGTGAGGGCACATAGCCGTATGAAGTAGAGACGCCATCAACATAGGCATGGCATGTGTCGCTGCCGTATGTCTGTGTTTCTGAACTCCCATGGCCTGATGCACTCATGATTGTTGGAGAGGAGGCGACAAGTTAACGTAACTTAGTAGTTCAATCTGAGTTGGTCCGTAACGCTAAGCGAGCTGCATAAGTTAGTGATGAACACTGGCAATTCTTATAAAGAAGTCAATCATAGTATCCGACTGGACGCTATATCACACAATATTTATACGGAAATCCTATCTTTCTTCTCTTCACTCCTTTCACGTTACGCTGGGCTATGGCTGCTAAGACTTAGTCACAGCTTACGACTTATCTCCCTCTCGAAACATGGTACATGCTACCCCTCTGGTATGAAAATATATTCCTTGAAGAATCTGATGGTCAATATCTTCAGTTCGTGGCGTATCCGTGATAGCTGTCTCAAAAAGGCAAGTCTTTTCCCTAATCGGTCCATCGTATTCGTGAAGTATCACACTAACCCTAATCTGGACCGCGCCGGTGGCTCGGCTGCCGATCCCTTGGCACGGGGCGGCCTAATGCCTCCCGCATTTTCGAAACCTTGTCCCGAATAATAACATCTTATTTCGATCAATCACAGTATTCTGATGCCTTAGCAGTGGAGCTCGTTCCAACTCTTGTTTGCCAAATTGCCAAGATCCAAACACCGCATCATCCTCCTATCAGCTGTCACTCATAACAAAACAGAATATGACCGCCTGAATCCTACGCAGGCTTTCATCTTCCCACGGGACATTATTTAGGCAGCAGACTGTGACAGTTTTAGACATGTAGGTACGTAGGAATGCAACCCTTCTGCTATTATGGTGTTGACAACCATTGGGCATGCTGCAGCACTGCTCGGGACGAGTGATTACATCACAGCAAGTTCTTGGCATCAGGCGTCCAAGCTCGTTGTCCACGGGTACAGCGGGTTTGGCTCTGCGTAGCATTCCAAAGCTGCCAGTGTAGCCAATCATCGTACACTTGATGCATAGCAACGCGCCGTGCTCGTATACTTCCAGTCCAAGATGGCTAGCGACTTGCCTATCCAGGGCTGTCATCGTGCCCCTCACCAGATCGGAGCCATCTGAAACTTGCTCCATCTTCACGCATGACTGGCTTACAACTGCTACTCCACAATCATAAAAATAGCGCTGGCGCCATTTATTCAAGGTGACGACGGCAAGTAATATACCTGCATTTGTAATCTACTAACAGCTCGGCCCTAGGCCTACATCCAGATATAAATTCCTCCAAATCCACATCATGGAAACAAACCTCCAGAATTCAGAATCGAATGAGCTCTGCTATTACTACCACTACCTCCATAATGAAGACAACCCCCCTACTATTTCTCGTCGCGGGCCTTGCCCAAACCCATGCATTCCCATCACAAGGAGGAGCACCGCACCCACTACCCTGGTCCCCTCCAGGCCCAAACGATGGTAAGCAGTCCTGTCTAATCCACGATTTTTCAATACCTCAAGCCATCGTTAACATGAAATAATAGTCCGCGCCCCCTGTCCAATGCTCAACACCCTCGCCAACCACGGCTATCTCCCCCACAACGGCAAGGACATCACTGAGCAACACACCATCAACGCCCTCTATAACGCCCTCGGCATCGACGCAGAACTCGCCACATACCTCCACCAGGAAGCAGTCACCACCAACCCTAGCCCCAACGCAACCACGTTCTCCCTGAATGATCTAAGCCGCCATGATATCCTCGAACATGATGCTAGCTTGAGGTAAGTCCCTCCTCAATCCCACCACTTCATCCATTTAACCCAGTATGCATTATGGTATAGCCGCCAAGACGCCTACTTCGGCGACAATCACGACTTCAACCAAACCATCTTCGACGAAACCCGCTCCTACTGGACCTCACCCATCATCGACGTGAAGCAGGCTGCTCTGTCTCGCCAAGCACGTGTGAATACCTCTATGGCTACGAATCCGAATTATACCATGTCGGAGTTGGGTGCGTCGTTTAGTTATGGGGAGACGGCGGCGTATATTATTGTCCTTGGGGATAAGGAGAATGGGTTGGTGAATCGGTCGAGGGTGGCGTATCTTTTTGGTGAGTTGGGTTTAGTCCTGGTGGGGTTGAAGTAGTGATGGTGTGTTGTGCTGACTGATGGTTCGCAGAGAATGAACGTCTTCCGCTGGATCTAGGGTGGAGTCGGGCAAAGGAGAATATCACGTTTGATGATTTGAGCACGATGTTGAATAGAATTGTTAATGCCACGGGTGGGGAGAGTGAGTTTGATAGGGAGTTGGCGAAGAGGGGTGGGGTGCATTTTGGGAGGTGGAGGGGGTAAATTTCATTTGTCCTAGGTGTGTGGGTTGGGGATGGGCTGGAGGATAGTACAGGAAGTGGGTATCGGTTTGATTAATGGATGGGTACGAAATGGGCTTTTGAGTCGTCCACTTTGCTGCCTTGATTGGCATATACGAGTTATGTCTGTATGAGGAGTTTTGTTCGGATTTTAAATATGAATAACATATTATCAATATCGTTTGCTGCTTTAAGAAGGATTTTAGTCCTAGATTGACGTCATTGATGTTCTAATCCTTATACTTGCGCGGTATGAAGGATACGGCGAGGAAGATCGACTGTTCCTAGCAGCTATGATTATCACAGCTTACTCCATCCTTCGAAACCAGATCTTCTCACCCAAAACGGACTCCAGATCCAACCCTAGGCTCTTCGGTACTCCCTGCTCGTCAACATAAAACTCGGCCTTCGTATAGTCTGGTCCCACAGCCTCGGCCTCAGGATTATAGTACTTGACGACGAAGAATTCTCCACTGACATGCTCGAACCGCATACTGCAGCTCCCAACACGGTCTCTCAAATCAACGACCAACTTGCCGCTCTTCTCACAGACCTCAAACTCCCCGTATCCAGGATGCGCATATGTCCCTGTATATGCTCCCAGCGACAATGAATGTGGTAACCTCATTTTCAGGTCCGGATACAACCGTGCTACCACACATTCGACACTCTCGTTGTACATCCGTTCCATCTCCTTAAGCTTCGCCCCTAGCTTCCTCACATGGGTCTCTCTTTCGGCTCCGCTCTTCCCCAGCAGCTGATCGATGAGGTACAAGAACAAATCTAGCTCTGCAATCCTAGCGTTTTGGGTATTTCCCATCATAGCAAACGCAAAGCCCTTCGCAGGCAAAAATCCAACCATTATCCCAAATCCAACCCAGCTACCCGTGTGCCAGTATAATTGTTCTCCGTGGTAGTAGTCTATAAACCACCCCATGGTATAGAGATGATATGCACCCGGCGGAGCGAGCATATTTTTCCAATCCGACTCGGCAATGACTGTTCTGGGTATACGAAGTGCTGTGTGCCCCTCCTTTGAGATAGGCGGTGCCTGGTAAAGCATAGCGCGCAGCCACTTTGCGTAATCCATTACGTTAGAAACCATTGAACCAGTTCCAGTGATTGGAGCATAGTTGATATATTGCTCTTCGTAATATGTGTGTGTTTCCGGGTTCCAGGTGTAGCCCTTGACTAGTCTCTTTGACAGGTTCTGGTGCTTTTGCACTTCGGCAGTGGAGAAGTATGTATCGTTCATGTCGAGTGGGTCCCAGATTCTTCTTTTGAGTGTCGTTCCGAGGCTCTCCCCGTTTATGTGTTCCAACAAATATGTGGCAGCCATGAACATATGATTGTTGTAGTTGAATGTGGTTCGTGGCGGAAAGGCCAGTGGTAGCCATCGAAGCCTGCGGACCTCAGTGCGCAAAGTCTCATTCGGAAAAGCGAGGTTGATGGAAAAGAAGTGGCCTGGGAGCCCACTCCGATGCGATAAGATGTCTTCAATCGTAGTGTTGGTGGTCGCAGAAGGAGTAGAAAGAACAAAGTCGTCACGGATGATGGAAGAGACGGGCGTAGACCAGGATATTGGGTGCGGAGTGGACTGGCTATCGTCAATTGCTAAAGACATTGCGTCGGCGGTGAAGGCTTTGGTTGTGCTGCAGGTTGTGAAGAGAGAGGTGGTGGTCATGGGTGTGGAAGGAAAGGAGGCGTAACCGTAGGCCTCAGTTCATTGTTAATGTAGTTCTTAGGTCAATGGCAATTTGAAGGTGGTGGTACCTTTGCGTAGGTGCTGGAACCGTGCACAACCGATACGGTCAGGCCTGGAATGTGCCATTCTTCAAGCAATTTGTCGACGAGAGCGTCGAATTCTAGAGTGAGCGGATTGCTTTCCTGGCGGAGGACCATTGCGCTGGATTCTGCTTGGATCTGGGTTAAGGGCAATGAGAGATGGGATGTGGGAGGAAGTGAGATGAGCGAAGATGCAGAGAGTGAGGAGTCAAGTTGCACGGGGGTCCGTGGGTAGCCCGGCGTAGCTGCCTAGCACTAATTCCCGCAGATAAGCCCCGAACGGCCGCAGGAAACCAATACTAGTCTGCATCAACACTTGCTTTTGCCGCAGCATGCACAGAAGCCTCCTTGATCAGATCCTCCAGTTATCCCAGCTAGGTCATTGGTTCTCAGTACTGTTACTATGTCCCGAACTTCAGAGAGCGAAAGCTATAGGCTTTGTGATTTATACTACATGCTCGTATCCAATTAAAATGACCACTCATCGACTAAAGCTTTCATGCAGGCCGCTCCTGTCGCTGCAGCATACCGTTGCCATACTTTATTCTTATGGCTGTCGGCATAGTCACAAACACCCTTCACCACTAGACAGGGCAGACTATCCCAGACCCCTGCACCCTCCATTTCGAACGCTATCACATTATGACGCTCAGCGATGAGGTCCCTGTCTTGTCCAGACTTCATAACAGTATCCCCCGAAGCAATGAGACCTAGGTGGATTGCCGGAGAAGGAGTATGCCCCTGTGTAAGTGCAGCCTGAAGACGCTTCCGTTTGACAAGGTTATCTTTCCCACATCCCAATTCATGACATGATAGATCAAACACCTCGCTACAGACCGTAGTGTTGGTCGAGTCTGCGCATCTGATGCAGCTGGTGCTGCTACGGTGTTTATGCTGATAGCTGGGCTCGTAGAGTTCGTCTTGTTCCACTCCTGGATATCGAGCAGTGTCATTGCCAAGCATCTTATTTATAGCTCCCATATATTCCGTCATTCTGTTCGAAACATGCCGTTGTACCCAGGTCGTCTTTACCTTCGAAAGGAAACCTCTTATAGCGACGTTGGGCCGCCCCAGTCCATCGGCAACCGATGCTTTAGGCAGAAATGCCCCAGGAATCCTTCGCCCGAAATCATGCTGGATAATCCCATCACTGACTACTACATCTCCGAGGAGGATCTCCTTGCTCCCCTTTCCATATGGAACACCGCCACAGATTCCGACCACCAGGGCGAGCTTTATGTTCGGATAGGTTGACCGTATTGAAGAGGATGCTTGAGACGCAACACTTTTTCCCATTCCCGGAAGATGTACCAATGCGGTGTTATGGCGACCCATTCGACCGAGTGTGTACGTGTTCGAGTCTCCCGGTGAATTTTGATACAGGCTGAAGTCCTCAAATCTGTCATCAAACAGAGCACTGACAGCATTAACCTCTAGCGGCAAAGCACAGAATATTGCGACCGTAAAATCTGCTTTATGGGGGAACTGTGAGGCAATGAAAGTCTCTGAAATGACATGGTGAGCGACTGTCCCCAGCGTTTTTGCGGTAGGAGCGGTCTGGATACCCCAGTCATCTTGATAGGCTTCAGACAATCTCTTCAATGGCAAAACAATCTTCTCGTATAACACATTCTGTCGGGCCAGTACCTGCTGCGTATCTCCGTACTGTTGTATCGAGTCGCCACCAAATAGCTCAGGGTTGAGACAGTTATTAACGGCCTCCTCGTACATATAATGCACCATGTCCTTCAATTTGCTTCTGTGTGCCGTTGTCCACGCCCATGTATAGTAGTCGTTAACCACAGATTTACTGAAGGGATGAGGGCACTCTTCACTTGTCAAGGGCTGCTTGATGGCAATTTCGATAAGAAGAACCCCTAATGCTAAAATGTATGGATATTGGTGCATGAGATTATCGGCATTATAGCAGTCCGTAGAAGTAACCACCGCTCGGGCCATGTTTGCTGTCAGATATGGATGTGGTTTTCCCTGATCTGCCAGGCCAGTTTCTTCAATTAGCAGTTGAATGCTCTCGTGAGTCCAGGGCACCATCATCCACGGTGAATTGTAATACTGCCAGACGGACTTGGCAACGGTGTAGGCTAGGTGAGACTTTCCCTTATTCGAGAGATGAGGTATTTGTCCAAGCCATTTCCCTAGTGAAAGTCCTTCAAAGGGGCGAATGCCACGGGGGGGCTTAGGATCAGGTGGTTCGATCACTTGCAGCACGTTTGATTGAATACAAAACTGAACGGGCCTGCCAAGGCGATTGTCGATCAACTTGCAGAATTCCCCCCGCTCTAGCCGTCTCAATCTCTGGGATAAGAGCGAGCTATTGCGATTCGATGATAATAAACTACCATATGTGGATGCGAACCCAACCTTCTTCTTGCTCTTCTGGACATTAGTCTGTCTGCGCAACTCCATCTCGGCCGTTAGTTGTGTTTTACTGCCAGCCGAGCCTTTTGCCTCTCACCTTGGGACTTTCACAATCGACGCCTTCCACTGCACGAATGATGGAGTGTTCGTAGGTGGGAAAGGGCGGGCCTTGAAGGCGAGCTCAAAGGAAACATCGTCGTCACAGATGTGATTGTCAGTACTCAGTCGCAGTCGAGTCGATTCCAAGTGAACAGTGCGGCAGCCACATTTCGCGTAGGTCTGTAACTGAGTGTAGAGGACTTGGTTCAGGTATCCCGAGTATCCGATGTCGTTATCGTCCTGACATTCCTCCGCATATACCGGCTCCGTCTCGTCCACCGTGAAACAGTCGGAAATCAATCGCAAGAGAGCATTGTATTCTGGGCTGTGTCGGACAAAATGTGTCAGGCTTTCCTGTGTCTCTCTGATCACAGTCTGTCTAATATTGCTCGTTGAATCTTTATAACTGCGGATTCTGCCCAGAGCCTGAAAGCGATCAGCTTCATTCCGCGACGTCTGAGTGGTGGATTAGTGCACAACGTCAGGTTTTCGCGTGTGAGAAGACCCACTGAGCACGCTTTATCTACAATCTTGAATATCTTCAACAATCTTTGTCGCGCAAGGGTTGTCTCGCTGATAGCTGGGATTTGCTGAGATAGAACAAACAGCTCGCATCCCAACGTGCCGTAAGCGTTATTACGCGTCTGTTGCCCTATGAGAATGACTTGGTTGCTGATCCACGGCAGAACCTGACAGCCCAAGTCCAATACATCTTCCTCGTCCATGAGGCATGATAGAGTTGTACTTGTGCGACATAAGAGCGAGGATGTTTTGTTCAAACAGTCAGCGGGTGCGGGGTAATTAGCCAGCACGTGTTGAGCTAAGCCCGAATGGAGAAAGCAGAGCCATCTGGTGTTGGTCGAAAGTGCCCATTCCATAGTCCCCAAGTTATGGCAGACCAGCCTTCCATCCATGAGGCCACCCTGGCCTGTTACCAGGTCTTTCGAGACTCGGCTGCTGTTCCTGCTCTCCAAGAATGGGCAGAGAATTGTTTAGCCGACTTGAAGCTGTGGGCAAATGGAGCCGGGGCCTTGAAAGTCGGAAAGGCATCCCTTGATGCTAGGCTGACCTCGAATCAGGACGCAAAAGATTTCGTGGTAAATCTCTTAGGGATGCTGCAAGCTTTTGTAGAGCGGTGCGTTGAGACAGGTATATCCAAAACATCCCTTTGAGCATAAAGGATAAGGAGTGACTTCTTACTAGGAGCGGATGGGCACGGCGATGGGTTGGGTCAAGCCATGCAGGATGTAAAATCCATCATAGGCCAATTGAGTCGAATCATGACTTCCATTCGCAAGGCTGGCATCAATGCACGAATTCAAAAGGCCGATGGTTCATACGACCCTGGCCATCCGCAGGTTGAGGCTTTGAAAAACCATCTGCAGCTGCTATTACTGTTACTGTCAAGACCCAGATATAATGGCACTCTACAGGCAGAGACTTCCTCGCACGGAGTGCTATTGGTCTCGTCCATAGATGGCACTATAGTGTCTGAGCCACGGTCTTTGACTGTTATCCAGCGACGACTCATTGAGGCAAACCTGAAGCGGAGACACCGATTCTTGTATGCTCAGCGTCACGCCATCAAGCTGTCCGACAGGGAACCCGCCCCAGCAAAGTCGATACCCACTTCTCGAAAAATACCACAGCCACTCATCCTCAATCCCAACGCAAGGTCAACGGACGAGCCTAAACTTCCCACAGTGTATAGCACAACGACTGCAACCGAAGTACAAGATCCAATCCCGTTTCCGACCCGAGATAGTGCCCAACCAGCGACTACTATCATATCTGCAATCAGCTCTCGTGTGACGTATCCCAAGCCTCCCCAACTGAGACCCGATCAAAATGTCTTCCAATGTCCGTGCTGTTGCCAGACATTGCCAGCTTCCATGAGCAGAGGGAGTCAGTGGAAGTATGTATTGATTCCATGAGCATCCGGATGAATGCTAATCATATCGCCATCCAGAAAACATCTCTCCAGAGATATTCTTCCCTACACATGTATTCTCGAAGATTGTCCTCGCCCCGAAAGAGATTACCATACAAAGGATCTCTGGCTGTCGCACATGTTCACAGACCATGGCGGCTTTTCCCATTGGGTTTGCCTCGCCTGCAATGACTCGAGCGAGCGACCAACGTTCCACGAAGAATCGGCATTTACTGAACACTTAGATCAAACGCACTCAGCGGGTATAAAACCCCAGCACATACAGATGTTGGTCTCAGCCTGGCGCCGGAAAACACCAATCACAATTGGATCATGTCCGCTCTGTGTGCCGACAGACCTGGATGCCGATGCCGTTTTGAACCATGTTGCCGAGCATTTGCATTCATTCTCGCTCAGATCCTTACCATGGGCGCCAGGAGACTCTGAGTCTAATGGGGACTCATATGGAGGCTATTATGAAGATCATCCGTATTTTGATACAGCAAAATCGGAAGATACAGGAATATCGGAAGATACTGGGAGTGTGGGATCAGGATCTATTGAGTCATCTGAGCCAGGGAGTCTTCTGGACTATCTGCCTATCAAGGAATACGACGAGGAGCCAACAGAAAAGAACCAATTGACAGAAGACAAGATTCACTGTCTTTCGGAAGATCCGAGTGGTAGCAAGAATATGATGGGCGTGTTTTTAGCTAGCATCGAGAACGAACATCCTGCAACGGCACCCTTTCAAACGCCACTATCGCCAGCAAGCCTTGATAACGATCTGCCTGTGGACGAAGAAGAAGAAGGCCGAGACTCTCAATCCCATCATCTTCCATCATTGTCACTCACTGTACCTACAGATTCTGATAATAATGACTCTTCGGCCGTTC